GTGTCTTCCTGGTTGGACCGAGGAATCCTCTCAAACTGAGAGCCAGAAGAAAACCTTTTCCCTTTAAGTTGATTTCGGTCAGGGCATTTTATCACAGTAACAGAAGGAGCTAAGACAGGAGGTAGTCTTTCCTCGCTAAGGACTGGCTGAGGCTCGTGGTTTCCAGCTGGTGGAGATTTAATCTCATTAAAAAGCCTTGTAGGAGCCCAGTAATTTACTCACGAGAATTAACCGGGGTGTATATTTAAAAATGTAAATAGTGATTGGCCAGCACGAGCTTTCAAATGCCGCCTGCTGGCGCTTGCATTTCTCAATCTCCTCGCTGCCGGAAGTTTACATCCCATTTTCTGTAGAAAAAGAGCCCAGCCCGCTGCCTTCAGTTGTCCACGTGACTGCCTTGGTTTCTAGACAGTGCTGGGGAGGAATACTGCCTTTACGTAAGCTATTGAGCGAGATAATTAAAGCTGATTTTTAAAAGTTTAGTGTGTGTGTGTGGGGGGGAAGAGGCAGGAAATTGGTGTCTATGATAATATTTTACTTGAAAAAGACTTACATATATAGACTGCCCACCCCACCGCCCATTTAAGGGGTCATTCTGTCGATGATGTCACAAGTGTTTCCCGCCCCTAGAAAAGGATATGTGCTTTTGTAACTAATTAAGCCATATAATAAAGACGTTAGATATGAATCTCCTGCGTTCAAAAAACAAACAGAAGACCTACTTTCAGAATCAAATAACCACAACGCTTTTCCTAAAGTAATGTGACCAAGCCTGGTGTGTGCTGTGGGGGAAGAAGGGGAAAACATTATCAATAATCTTGGAAATTGAGAAAGCTGCCTTGGTAATTCACACAGAGCCGTGTACTAGGTATTCCAGGTTTTAAATTGTTGTGAAAATGCTCACCTCAGAAAACCATTCCTAGAGAAAGAACAAAGAGAGCCCTGGGGAAGGTAGGCGTGTTCCTTCTGAGGTTCTCACAGCTGCCAATCACGTTTTGAGAAACCAGGGGTGGAAACCTAATGTTCCTTTAGGATTTCTGTTTCTCTTCCTCTGTTTGCAATGTGTACCTTGGCTTTTCAAAGAGCCTTCTTTGGAAGAGCTGTCTTCTGACAAACAGGAGTTTTAAATTGATAAAGAACCAAAACAATTTCTTCTGTAAGTGCGACTCAGTTCCCACCCTAGACAAGATCAATATTGTCAGCTGGTCAAGCGTCCCCCCTCCTGATATTTTATGCTGTCATATGCAAATACACATAAATGTACATATTTGCATGTGCATAAAGATGCCTTAAAAAACTTTGCATCTTGAAATAGCTTATGAATTACAAGAGCTCAAAATCGGTGCTCTGTTGTGTTGCCAACAGCAACAAAAAGTGAGACCCCCTGTCTCACTTTGGCAAAGCATATGTCCAAAACGAAGGGCAGGGGCATTATCCAAACCCTGTCAGCACAGTCTTTATTCCAGCCGGTCATTTTTTTTTTCCTCTTCAAATAATCCCTCATCCCACAAAATTGTCGTTTGTCTTCTGAAAAAAAAAATTTAATATCTTTTTCTCAGCTCCTGGGGATTGTTTCTTGCTCAGCAAAACTTTATGGTTGGCATATACAAAAGCTCCCCTCCTAAATTCCAGCCTAGCCCCTCCAGAACTTCAGCTTGACTTTTATAGACACTTCCCCAGCTGTCCTCTGCCTGCATCCTGAGGTCATTACTCTTTTCCTACCCATTTAAGTTTTCTATTTAACGCATGCACAGGTGAGCCTGAATGTATGTCAGCACACCGTGCCTTGTGGGGTACCGGTCTTGGATCCCCTGGAACTGGAGTTACAGGTGGTTCCAAGTCACCTGACACAGGTGTTGGGAACTGAACCTTGGTCCTGCCAGCTGTGACTCTTAACTGCTGAGTCATCTCTCCAGCTTTATTGATTTGAAATATCACTTTTTGAGAATATCACATTGTCATATAATTTCAGGCCGATGTGTAGGCTTTCTATTGTATTCTATTAATATGTCTATCTTGGGGTGCCAATGCTTATAAAAGCATAATTTTTATTATTATAAGTGTGCAACTTATTTTCACACTTCTTCAAATTGCTTCTAAAATAGCTTCTGACCACAATGGCTGCTTGTCCCCAGAATAGGTCTCTTCTCCACAGCTTTGCTGTTCATGATGTCACTATGGAGTGATTCTTATTTTGTTATTTTATTTGAAGTGTTCTATACTTCTTACTCAAATTCCATTGTTAGCTTGGACCGTAGTCCCTGCTTTGGCAGAGATCTGTAGGTCGGAGCAGGAAAGACAGACATGGGACACTGGCGGCGAGGAATGAAGGGACACGGTTATGTTTAGAAGAGAGAATTGTTAGTTCACCCTACTTGGTACCAACCCCAAAGTTCACACGCTTGTAGACTGCCCCGCTTGAGAGAGGTCCCTTATTTCTTCCTGGGGATTAAAGAGGCCATGGCACCAGCCGTGGATAAACATGAATCTAGAATGCCCTAAGCTAGTTGCTCCCTTAGATGTATGCATCTGACACTGGCTCAGGAGTCACATTTTTGTTGTTGCTTGGCTAAGGATCATATCCAGGGCTTCATTGTACCAGGCAAGCCATCTGCTGCTGAGCTAGACCCCAGCCTGTTCATTGACACAGTTTTAAGGAATGACTTTTTTTTTTTTTTTTCTGGTCAGGGGAGGTGTTGTTTGGAGCAAGGTAGCCCAGGCTGGCATTAAACTTGCTCGGTAGCCAAAGATGGTGTTGAACTGAACCTCCTGTTTCTTCCCCTCAGCCGTGGGAATGGCTGATGCACACCACCACACTCAGATGTCAGTAGACTTTTAGACTTTTAGACACGCAAATAGAACAATGGAAGTAGAGGGTGTGTGTACAAGGGAGCAGCTGTAAGAGCCGACCTTGGGCTGGGCAGTGGTGGCGCACACCTTTAATCCCAACACTTGGGAGGTAGATGCAGGTGGATCTCTGTGAGTTTGATCCAGCCTGGTCTACAAGAGCTAGTTCCAGGACAGCTAGGACTGCTACACACAGAAACACTGTCTCGAAAAAACAAACTAAACAAAACAAAACAAAACAAAACAGAAAAGAGCCGACCTTGGCTCCAAGCCACGTGAAAGGAAGGGTCATGGGAAGCAGGTCGGAGAGGGCGAAGGAGCAGTGGTGGGGCACCTGGGAGTGGCTGGAGCCCAGAAAGCTTGCTGTGCTTGATACTTGAAGAGGGAGCTGGAAACAGGAAGCCGTTCTCAGAGAAAGGTTGGTGGCCACCTGCCAACACCATCCTCATGAGGCTCCATACATCACATGACTGAGTCGAGGGTTAAATTTGTAGCAGCCGCTGGTGGGTACAGGAGTTACCTCTGGAACGTTGCAGAAGGGGTGGCCACAGCATGGGGTGACCACGTGTTTGTAATGGATTCATCTGAACAAGCTGGAAACAGGGACGGATATTGATATGTATTTGTGACATAGAGTTGGTGACACTCAGAGTGTGCATGCAGGGAACGAACATGCTGGCATTCGGAAATGCTGATTTCAGACGCGTAGCTTAGATGGGGAGCCGGCATGTCAGTGATGGGCAAGGGGCATCTTAGAAAAGATGACCTTAGATGCCAAGGCCAGGGAACGAGAGAAGAAACAGGAAGAATCCACGCGGGAGACCTTGTGAGGGCTGGCAGGAAATGACAGGAAATGGTTTTTATTTTAATATATTCAGTAGATTGTTTTATTTTTATTCCCTTACTTTATTTTATTTCCTTTTTACTTAAAATAGATTCTTTTCTTATATAATATATCCTGATTACTGTTTCCCTTCCCTCTACTCCTCCCCACCCCCTCCCCTCCAGATCCACTCCCTTCTCTCTCGTTGGAAAAGAACAGGCTTCTAGGGGATGACAACCAAACACAACAAAATAAAATACAAGATGTAGCGAAAAGCTTCTTATCAAAGTTGGACAAGGCAAACCCACGGAAGGAAAAGAGCTGAAGAGAAGGTGCAAGAATCAGAGATCCCACTTGCTAATACACTCAGAAGTTCATAAAAATACTAAACTGAACACACACACACACACACACATACACACAAACACACGCATACACACACATGCATATACACACATATACACATAAACACACAAACATACACATATACATACACACATACACACGCAAATACACACACCTCACATTTATGTAGAGGACCTGTGTAGACTTGTGCAGGCCCTGTATATATGACCTTGGCTCAGTTGGTTGAATAAAGAAACTGCCTTGGCCTTTTGATAGAGCAGCACTTAGGTAGGCAGAGTAGACAGAACTGAATGCTGGGAAGAAGGGCGGATGGAGAGCTGCCATAGAGCCACCAGAGACAGAAATGCCAAATCTTTCCAGGTAGGCCACTGCCACGTGGTAATATACAGATTAACAGAAATGGGTTAAATCAAGATGTGAGAGTTAGCCAATAAGAGACTAGAGATAATGGGCCAGGCAGTGATTTAATGAATACAATTTCTGTGTGATTATTTCGGGTGTATTTCGGGTGTAAGCTAGCCAGGACAACAAGCAGTCTACCACTCCTGTAACACCCTTTCACTCTTTCTGCCTCTTCCACCTGGGTTCCCTGAACTCTAAGGGGAAGGATTCAATGAAAGCCTCCCATTTAGAGCCAAGTGTTTCATGGTCTTTTTCTCTCTGCTGGGGGGGGTGGGGGGCGGGGGAGAGTCCTTGTATTTGTTCCCATCTGCCACAAGGGGAAGCGTCTCTGATGATGGCAGATCAAATCACTGGTCTATGAGTATAGCAGAATAAAGAAGTCTTTTTTATCACTCTTTTTTTTTTTTTTTTAAGACCAGCAGTATTTGGTTTTTATCCTAAGTCTCTGGACTATCCAGTTGGGTTCTTGGCCACCCAAGCAGTGTTGGGTATGGGTTCCATCTTTGGAGTAGGCCATATTTGGAGTAGGTCAAATTAGACATGAGATGGTGACCCCACCAGCTTTGTGCCACCATTGCCCTAGCATATTTTGTAAGAAGGACAGAATTGTAGATCAAAGGCTTTGTGGCTGGGTTGGTATGTACACTTCCCTTTGGGTAGCCCGCAGAGGACCTTGCCATACCAAAGACATTGGGATGTAGGGGTGAAGGCTCTCTGTAGGCACCACCTTGGCCTCTCTAGCTTCAGTGAATTGCGTGGGTGTTGTCTTCAGCAATGGGGGCCTTGCTGTCAGTTTGTGGAGGGCAACCTATTATCCTGGTAACAGACTGAGTTGTTTGGGGATGTCTATGGGATGTCCGTTGTTAAAAATAAACCATTTTATTTATGGCCAACTATTTAAGATCTTTCGTTTCCTTTTAAGGTAAAGCCTGCTGCCCTTTCTTCTGATTTAGTATTGAGAATAGATGTACACAATGAGATCCATGCTCATAGTCTTCGTTATAGGTACTTCATCCTCATCCCTGTGAGGGCCGTGTGCTAATTAAATTTCCCTTACTGGGACAAAATACCTGAAACGATCAACTTAAAGGGCAGAGATTCATTTTGACTCATGGTTTTGGAGGCTTCCGTCCATGGTCAGTTGGCTCTGTTGCTGTAGACTATGGTGCTCTAGTTTATCATGATTGTACGACAGAGAAGGCCTGTCAGACATCTGTCAGCCTCATCATAGACAGGAAGGGGAACAAGAGATGAGACGGGACTGGGATCCAATGTTCCTGTAAGGTCACCTTCCCAATAACCTAACCCCCTTCTGCCAGGCCTTGTGTCTGAAGGTTGTGTCACCTCCCCCAAATAATACAAGCTGGAGCCCCAGCCACGAGTCTTTGGAAGACATGTATGTAAACCATAGCGTGTGTCCACGAATCAACACAGAGTGATGGACGGTGGAGTTCTTGAGTTGTGGTCTAAAAAGCACAACACATGCACGGGACCAGAGCGAGTGGATAGTGGTGCGAGGTCCATGAGATTTAGAGGCACAGTGATGAAGATGTTTGGGTTAAGGCTTCACCCCAGCCCCTGGCATCCATATATCCAGAGTCTGAAACATTTGGGTAGAAGGTTCCATCCCAAGCCCCTCCCCTAGGGGTTGCCTCAGTCCAGACTCCAACTGAGAGAAGGCCTGCCAAATGATGACACCTCCCCAGAGATGCTCAAGGCAGCTCCTACAGGGTATTTAAACTGCCCCCTCTGGGGGCTGGAAAGCCATCCAGGGGCATTGGTATCCATTAAACCTGGGCTTTTTCTAATTTGGTTTAATTTGGTCTGATTCGGATTATTATGTTGGCGGAGGGGCTTGTGAGGTACAGAAACTTTTCAGAAGAGACACACCCCACCTTAAGAGGAGATGTGATTCCTGCCCTTCCCAACTGCCAAATATCTGTATAGGAAAGCTTCACACAGCGTGTACCTGAAACTGTTAATAGTTATGACCTACTTCTGGGTTGTGGGGCTGGGAATGGGAAGAATTTAATGTTCCGTCATAGGCATTTCCGGGTTGTCTGAACTTTAGGCAAGACTAATAGTGTACTTAGAAATTAAAGAGATTAAATGTGGCTCAAACTTTAATGGGAACTGGGATTTAATAGAGACAGAAAGTAGAATGGTAATAGTCAGGTATGGCTGAGGGGGTGAAGGGACTTTTCTGTTTGTTTTTGTTTTTCAAGAAATGGTTTATCTGTGTAGCCTTGGCTGTCCTGGAACAAACTGTGTAGACAAGACTGACCTTGGACTCAGAGATCTGTTGTGTGATTTTTTTCTTCTCTTTTGGATTTCTTGGGAGGGGGAGTCACCACCAAGCTCCCAAATAAATCACACACAGAGGCTTATTCTTAGTTATGAATGCCTGGCCTTAGGTTGGCTTGTTTCTTGCCAGATTTTCTTAAATTATCCCGATTACCTTTTGCCTCCGAGCTTTTATCTCTCTCTATTTCTGTATACTCTGTGACTTGCTGGGTGGCTGGCCCCTGATGTCCTCCTCACGTTTTCTCTCCACTCACATTTCTTCTTCTATCTATCCTCTCTGCATGCCAGCCCCGCCCACCCTTGCTCCTGCCTCGCTATTGGCTGTTCATCTCTTTATTAGGACCATCAGGTGTTTTAGACAGGCACAGTAACACAGCTTCACAGTTAACCAACACAGCATAAACAAAAGTAAAACACATGAAAATAATATTCCTCAACAGAGCTCCGGTCCTGCCTCTGCTTCCTGAGCACTGGGATTAAAGGCGTGCGCCACCATGGCACAGCAACTTTTTTTAAACATAATTTTTTAATTAATCATTTGGGAATTTCATATCATGTACCCTAATCCCACTCATTTTCGAGTCCACCCATGTCCACCCCTCACCCCGGTAGCATTCCAAAACCCAAAAGAAAACTAAAAACAAAAACCCCAAAACAGACACCAAAACCACTTCACTCCGTCTCCCCGCCTCTCCATCACCTTTTCATTCATCTTAGTCGCAATGTGAGCTGCAGTGTGTCGTGCAGGATGTCCCTTTGTCCATATGTTTACTTAAAATACAAATGTTCATTGTGTAATGAGTTGTTGGTCTGGTTCGAGGCCTCTGGCTTCTGGTACACCATCAATACCGGACCCTCACAGAGAGATCCTGGCTATGGTTCTGCAGGACCAGTACCTTCACAAAGTCCAGCAGGTCATGGATGAGGAAGATGCTGAGGTGGATTATCTCAAAGCCCAGGGAAGCAGTGGAGCCAGCTCTCCCACTCCGGGGGTGAGGGGCAGGGCCAGCTCATTCTCCCAGGGCCAGTGGTGGTCAGTGCTGGCTCAACATGGCCTTTGAATCTCAACACACATGGTTCCTATGAGCCCCCCTGCCCCGTGGTAGCATACAGACCCCCGCTGCAGCAGGACCCCAGAGCCAGACATGGCCCCCAGCAACAGCCTGGGCACAGAATACCAGGTCCCTGCAGTGCAGACCAACCAGATCAGCGTGGCCCTGGTGGCAGCATGACCCTCAAACGCTAACATGGTCGCAAGTGGCTGAGCACACCCCAAATATCCGCACGGCCCTCGGTGGTAACAGAAGCCATGGGCATCAACCCAGACCCTGGCTGGTGTAGAGCCACAGACCCAGACATGGCTTTCAGCAGCAGCTCAGGCCCAGATGTCACCATGGCCCAGGGGACAGGCCGCTCTGATCAGCGTGGCCCTGGTGGTGACATAGCCCTTGGACACTATCATGGCCACAGGAGGCAGCCCAGACCTTGGGCATCCCTGTGGCCTTTGGTGACAACACAGACCCCAGCTATATAAGACCACATTTTATATAGTATACTATATATGTAGTATATATTATATTTAATATATATCGTATATTATATTTAATATATATAGTATAGTATAGCTTGTCCAGTTTTGGAGGACATTGCTCAATGTGAATATTTAAAATGGTCACGATAAGAAAGGCCAAGATGGTAAATTGTTCCTATATGCATTTTATAATTTTTTTAAGGTGTGGGATTTGTGTACGTGCCTATATATGTGTTCCCGTATGAGTGTTGTTGCCCTTGGAGGCCAGAGAGGGTTTTGGATCTCTTGGAGCTATAGTTACAGGTCACTGTGAGTGGCCTGATATGGGTGCTTGGAACAGCTGGAAACTGAACCCAGGTCCTTTGGAAGAGCACTCTTAACCTCAGAGTCTTCCCTCCAACCCCAGTAAGGGGCTTGCAGATATTTTAAGTGTAAGAATGTGATTCACCATGGGCATTGAGTGGAGAATTATATTTAATGCCCATGTATGGTCAGGCCTTGAGGATTCGTGAGCATTTGAAAAATGTAAATCTGTGTCTCTCGGTATAGGAATGGAGGTCTGTGGCTGTGTCCAGGGTCACTTTCCCGATACTGACTGCCCTTTTAGGAAAGAAATGCCCAATGCTTATTCCTTGTGCTGCCCTCCAACCAAAGCTCGGAAGTCGTTAATCATACAAACTTGTATTCTTATGGTTATGAATAACCTAGTAGATTGATTTCTGAGCGAAGAGTAGAATCAGCCATAAGGAAGTGATTTTAAAATACTAAAGACATCAAATGATTTGAACTCTTCCAGTAGCTAACCTGGGACGCCCTGCAGGGTCATGTGCCTGCTCTAAGCTTGTAATCAGAAGTCACGGATGGAGCCTGCAAGGGTGGGTGTGGGGTCAGTTCTTGCAGTAAGGATACTGAGTAGAAAAAAAAATACATGCTCCCGTGTACATGTTTGTTTACACCAATCTAAAGGGCAGGATAGAGAAAGGCGCAGAATACGTGATGTCCCAAATTCTCTGGCAATTCCAGGGGGCACCTTAAACAAATCTGCACCCCGAGGTCTTTCTTCTTACTTTCAAGGGTGTTTATTAATAGTAGTCATTACTGAGTAGATGCTATCTATTTTGACCCTAAAATTGATAATTTCATCTGTTTTTAGGGACAAGAGAGTTAGCTGATTTGTGACAGGAAAAATACGGCCGATAAGTGGCACCCATTTAGATAAAACTAATGGTTTTTCAAAGCGTGCACCAGGGACTAGGGAGATGGCTCCCAGGGTAAACTGGTTGCCTGGTAACTGCGAAGCTCGGAGTTTACTCTCCAGAACTCACCTAAAGAAGCCAGGGGCCGTGGTAACGGGTAGTCCTGGCACTGGGGAGGTGGACAGGCACACGGTTGGCAGATTCCAAGACAGTGAGAGACTCCATCTCAAGGAAGCAAGGCGGACAGCTCCTGACGACTGTTCTCTGGCTGTTTTGTGTGGTCACAGTATGGCGGGTGTCTTAGTTAGGGTTTCTATTGCTTCGGTGAAACACCGTGACCGAAAGCAGCTTGGAGAGAAAAGGATATCTTGAGCTTACAGTTCCACATCACAGTCCATCCTGAAAGGAAGTCAGGGCAGGAACTCAAGACAGGACCCTGGAAGCAGGAGCTGCAGCAAACACCGTGGAGAAACATTGCTTCGTTGACTCGCTCCTGCGGCTTGTACAGCCGACTTTCTTATCCCTCCCAGGACCACCTGCCTGGGATGGCACCTCCCGCGGTGGTCCGGGCTTAAGAAAACGCCCGACAGGCTTGTCCACGGGCCAATTTGATGGGGTTATTTCTTTCAGCTGAGGCTCCCTCTTCTCAAACAACAGCATGGAAATCGCCTGCTTTGCGCATGGAAGTCCTGTGGTTCAAGGAATGATCTGGAATCTAACTTTGTATTTACTTAAGATTTAATGGGTCATTTGGGGGAAAATAATGAGAAATCTGAAACCGAGGGCTGGCTGTGGAAACATTTGCTTTCTTACACAAATATTCTTTTCCTCCCCTCCCCCCATTTTATAAATAGCCTGTCCTGTTCCAAAATAGACTTACTATTGCTCTGGTTGGGAAAAACTCCTCCCAAAAGTGTGATTTGCTGAAACAGACCTTTTATTTTTTTATTTATTTTTAATTATTTGAAAAACAAACTATTTAGAAAACTGTTTCAACCAGTATCATTTCCATCTTCTCTGAATGATTATTTGGAGCCGCCACCCCCCCCCCTTTCTGTCCCTTGATTGGCTGCATGGGAATTTGGAGTTTGTGAATGTCTGTTGCCTGAGTTTCAGGGCAGAATGAGACTATTTCCCTTTGAATGCCCTTTAGGGTTCTGAAGAAAAAGGTGGTAATATATATGTGAAAGCCCTCTGCTTACAGACAAGAACAATTACTGAATTAATAACTACCCAAAGACTTGCCTGTTGTTTGAGGCTGAAAATCTTGTAAATTTGTTGTGGATCGTATCATAACTTATGTTTTTAGCAAATAATGTGTATCTCATATCAAGGAATATTTACTGTTTTGAAATTTTGCCAGATTTTGCAAATAGTTGGAAACCCCAGGTACAGTCATCAGGAGTCCAGATGTGGAATTGGCATTGCATGTTTTTATGGTAGGATTTGGAACTGAGAGTCATATTCGGCTTTTACATACCTACTGGATGAAGTTTCCTATGTTTTTCTTTGTGAGCCTCTAGCCATTAAGGGCTGAGCCATCTCTCCAGCCAAGGAAGAAGTTTCCATGCTCCTGTTCCTCTTCATTCTGCTCAAGTTGCTTTTCTCTCTCAAAAAGTGCTGTGTTGAGAATTCAGCATTAAGGGGGAATGGAAGAAAAAAGAAAAAGGTATAAGAACTGGTATCTCAAGGATAATTTAAGGATGGAGAGTTATATCAATTTTTAATAGTGGCAGAGGAATTTGATGTGAAATATTAAACTACAGCCCTTGGTGGGGGCATCCAGTGTCTCCAGCTCCCTGTGTAGCTGATGATGACCTTGAACTTTTGATCCTCTGTTGGAAGATTGGTGTTGACTGGAGAGGTCGCAGTCTCCCCACAGCTGGCAGCTTATCTCAATGGCCTGGGGAGGTGGGGCTCCCTCTCTCCAGCAGAACTTCCTGCCCCTACCTGCCCTTATTTGGGGAAACGTCCCTGGGCCTGGAGGACTTTCAAACCTTATCTGAAAGCTGTCTCTAAACCAGCTGCTGACTTATCTTTAACTTGAGCCCTGCTGTAGATCCCAGCTTGAAGTTTTCTCTGCAGCACATACTAGAAGCCTTATGGGCGGAGTGTGCCTCTTATGCAAATTAGGTGATGCTCAGGCCGCCATCCCCAGCTTTTATATTTCCTTTTCTTCCTGGGATAAAGTGGAGTTGTAACACTGAACAGCTGTCTCCATTGACTCAAGCTGCCTGACCCTGATCACTCTTTTCAGCTCCCTCCGGCCTCCGAGTCTTGTGGACAGAAAAAGCTAGGGCGAGAATGGCCATCCTCCTGCCTCTGCTGCCTAAGTGCTGAGATCACACATGTGCAGTAGTAGCAGGCCCAGTCTTACGCAGAGCTGAAGATTGAACCCAGGTCTTTGTGCAAGCACTCTACCCATGGAACGACACCCTCAGACTTGGGACTATTAAAGAGCATTCTTTAATATGGGGCTGACAGTGCATATTTCACTAAGATATTGCAATGATAAACAATTACGAGTCTCAATGAAAGATTCGATGCTTTGGCTCTTGACCACTAAAATTCAGCCTGTTCAGAAGGCGTTGGAGTATAAACAAACTTCAGTTTACTTTCTTTATGGATCTTTCTACTCAAGGACCTCAAGGATGTGAGACAAAGTATCATGTATCTTAGAAGTGTAGGAGGTGGGTAGAGATACAATGTTCTAGCTGATGTCCCTGGACTTAGGTTTAGGCATTTTTACTCCCTCCCCCTCTTATGTTTCCATTTTCAACTTTCAATTAGTTGTTTTTTTCTGCCGCTCATCATCTCTGATTACTTATTGCACAGACAAGGACTCCCAAGTGCTGGTAGTGCTTGAGGCTTGGTGGGTACTGGGTAATTGGAGAGCTTGCATCTGGAGGGAAGGCTTAATTCTTTTAACTGAGAAGTTAAACGAATAGAATTTATCTCATTTGCTTGGTGCAATGGTCCCTGAACCTGGGTGATCAGCACACTCCCCTGGGTAGCAGGCACTTTCCTACTGTTGCGTTAATTTCAGTAATAAGAGTCGGCTATGCAAGTGAGTAAAAGAATTTACATTGTGCCGAAGGGTGAAGAGCAGAAGGCAAAATTCTCCTCTTTCTGCTTCTTGGGGTACCATTAATATATTCCACGCACTGCCTTCCAAAACCTTTCCTATGGAACTCATCACATGAACTTACACATGCTTCACAGACATGTCTATTCTGCCCATAACTCGTTTAGCCAGGCTACTCGCTGTCTGTCGGGCACGACCATATATGGCACACACAAGTCCTCTGCATGCATATTAGCACACGCCTTTGGCCACAGCATTTGGGACATAGAGGCGGGTCAGCCTGGTCTACATAATGATGACCAGGCCAGTGAGGTGCTGTGGAATAATCCCTTTTTTTTTTTATTTATTAAAGATTTCTGTCTCTTCCCCACCGCCGCCTCCCCTTTCCCTCCCCCTCCCCCGTCAGTGTGTGGATGCACCCCTCGCGGTCCTGAGTTCCTTGCTTGTGCTCTCTCTCCTTCTGCTCCTGATTTGGACCTTGAGATTTCAGTCCGGTGCTCCAATGTGGGTGGAATAATCCTTTTGTGCACTGTGAAGATGTGTTGTTCTCGTGGTTAATAAAAAGCTGATTGGCCCATAGCTAGGCAGAATTTTCAGGGCAGAGAGGATGCTGGGAGGAGGGCAGAGTCTCAAGCCAGACTGGGAGAAGCAACATGGGAAGTTCATGGATGAGGTAGATGAGCTTCAGGGAAACACACAGACTGATAGAAATGGGTTAGTTTAAGTTGTAAGAGCTGGCTGGAGATAAGCCTAAGCTATTGGTCGAGCATTTATAGTTAATAATAAGTCTCTGTGTGGTTACTTGGGGAGTGGCTGGCAGGACAGGGCTGATTGGCCATTTAGGTGGAAAATTCCGCCTACAGTGAGGACTATATAGTAGGACCTTGTCTCAAACTAAAATAAAGGAAATAAACAAACAAAAAGAAACATGTCTTCTTAAATTCAGATAATCGCAGTTTCTCCATCATCAGTTGTAATCATGTCAGACCTCACCCCCGTGAGAAGAAACCTGACATGGGTCAACTTCCAGGAGCAAAGCTTTAGAGTAGCTCAGATTAAGTCCATGCCCAGGCACTCCTATGGCTTTTGGACCTGTGGCTAGGCAGTACATCTTGGCAGAAATGAATGGCAAAGGAAACTGCTCCTCTCAAGGTTGTGTGTGCCTAGGAAACCTGTGCTGAGTGTCAGGGCACTCTCCACGGAAAACGGCAAGACTGTAGAGAGATCTGAACAGTAGAGGTCTATATATCCTACCCCTGAGGTCAAGGGTGCCAGAAGATGCCAAGCAAATACTCAAGAAATGTATCCAGATCACGGAACTAGTGGGACCAGATCATGGAGAGATAGAGATGACTCATAATTTTGGAAAACGAGAAAGGCTAGGGAGAGCGGTACAGACGGGGATCTAATGGAATTTCTTTTCATAATTAGGACAGTATTCACATTTGCAAATGTGAACAGAAACTGGCGCTTCTTGTGGAGGAAGTGAGACCTCTTCATTAGCAAATGAAGTGTCGAAGGCAGTGGTTCTCAAAGCTGTTACCCTTTAACACAGTCCCTCACGTTGTGGTGGTCCCAACCATAAAATTATATTTGTTGCTACTTCATAACTGTGATTTTGATACTGTTAAGAACCATAATGTAAATATCTGTATCTTCCGATAGTCTTAGGTGACCGCTGTTAAAGTGTCCTTGGAGCCCGAAACACGTCACAACCCACAGGTTGAGAATGAATGGCCTAAGGTGTAGGTGGAGGGCTAGCAACTTGCAGAAAATTATACATGAGCACACCAATGTGGGGCTCTTAACGCCCATCTTATTTTCCTCTCTCTCTCTCTCTCTCTCTCTCTCTCTCTCTCTCTCTCTCTCTAATCATGACTACGATATAACAGACCAGCAGGCCACCTGGCAAATGAGAGAGGAAATTTATTTTGCTAATTTTAAGCGCATAATTATTTTAAGTTAGACTGGGAAGGGAGAGGAAGAGGCTATGAGATCAATCACACCATTGTTATAGCAAGGTGCTTGCTAGGCCAATGTTTATCAACACAGTGTCTCTATAAGGCCAGGGTCCACATCACCTGGAGGGACATGGGGTAGGGCAGGCTCACGTGTCCCCTTAAGGTGCAGGTTCCCAGATCAATCGCTACAACTGAACTGGGGAGTCTGGGCTGCCAAACCAGGCTCAGCTGACCAGTGCTGCTGTATTACACAAATGCGAAGATTACACGCTCGTGGCATGTCCCATGAGTGACACAAGAACCCAGGTGTGCCATGTACAGGGCACACAACACAGATGTTGGCTTCTGAGCCCTGCAGTAGGAAACTCTTGCCTGAATTCATTCCACTCTTGCTGCCAAGGCTGTCTGCCAGTTCACTACAGTGACACTATTCTCTCTCTCTCTCTCTCTCTCTCTCTCTCTCTCTCTCTCTCTCTCTCTCTCTGTGTGTGTGTGGGGGGAGGGGCTGAGGCAGCACCAGAATTGCAGAATTGACAGAGGATAAAATTCCCATTCTTTGCCAATAGGCAGGATTACTTCCAATTATTGTTTAAAGAAGCCTAGGCTAGCATCTCCGACTACCCGTAAGTGCTCACTAGATGGCAAGAGATGCCCAGATATCAGGACTGTGCATTTGACAGGGATGTGGGACTCTGGAAGTATACATTGTTCCAATTACTTCTTCTCTTGCTCATAGGCTTCAAAAAGCAAGTGCTTGGGATCCCGGGGAGAGAGGAAGTCAGCGGCAGCAGAACAAAATTGCCTTTTCCCTGAACAAGACTGCTTTGGACAATCTTTGATCTAGTTTATCGACTCCATCTTCAAACACATCCTCTCTGCACTGATGCTGGGACTCAGGGAGATTTGTTCAGCCGAGAAATAACAGCTCAAGTCGACCGAGCCTTTCCCATGTACTTGGGCTTCTAGCAATGCCAAATCAAATAAAACCTTGATGTTGTAGGGTTTGCTTTCTGCTAGGGCTGGAAGGGGAGAGGAAATAAATAAAATAGGATGCTATAGTCAATATGGTCAGGATGACGTCTAAGATATGGAGGGAGACGGAATCCATTCTTCCCGACCAGATAGAACACTTGCCAGTGAGGGGTTATTTGATCATCTGGACTGGTTTTTTGTTGTTGTGATGGAAAACCTGACAAATAAACTAAAGAAGAATATATCTGTCTGTTTGTCCATCTATCCATCCATCCCCATCCATCTACCTAGCCATCCATCCATCCATTTGTTTATCTACCCATCCATCCATCCATCCATCCATCCATCCGTTTATCTATCCATCCATCCATCCATCCATTTGTCCATCCATCCATCTATCATCTATCTATCTATCTATCTATCTATCTATCTATCTATCTATCTATCTATCGGCTCACAGTTCAAAGGCCTCAGTCCATAATCACTTGGTTCCATGTTTCTGGGACAGGTGGTGACAGAAGCATGTGAAGAAGCTGCTTCACCTTATTGAAGAGGAGAGGAGAGGAGAGCGGAGGGGAAGGGAGGGGAGGAGAGGGACAGGGAGGGAAGGAAAGGGGAGAAGATTGGAGGCGAAGAGAGGAGAGATTTCCCCAAGGATTTTATCCAGTGACCCATTTCCTTCAGTTACGCCCCCAACCTCACAAAGTTTCTATGGCCATGTGACCAACCTGAGATTGTTTCTTCAGAACATGAGCCTGTGGGGAACATTTCCTAGTCCCTCACCGCACGGCCTTTGGTCAGAGCTGGGGCGGAAGGAAGAGGAAAGCAACGCCCACAAGCGCTCCTGTGCTAAGGTTTATGGGTAGAGGATGCCTGTTTGAAGGGCTGGCTCACTACAGAAGCTCCTGAAAGGCTGGAGTGAGGCCGAGGGAGGCGGGGTAAACTTTGAAAAGGCAGTGCCTGCCAGGCGGTGAGCCTTGATCTCGGCAGCTGCCGCGGCAGGGGTGGGGGGTGAGGCTGGCAGCTTCAGGCATTCACTGGCGCGATTTGATCAGAAGCATAAGGCACAAGGAGCACTTGGTTGCCTCCTCTCCAGGGGTACAATCCCTGTCTCCTCCATCTGGCTAACACATTGATGTGGCCTCCTGGAGGGAGTCTTGCCTGACTCGAACCAAGTCTTTATCACCGGCACCCACTGTGGCTCTCTACTGAGCCCTGTGTGCGTATCAGAACACACTTTATCATCTGTCTCCTCAGCATTTCAGAGTTGGCCTCCTGCATTCTATAATGGTTCAATAACAGCATAATAATCATCATCCTCTCCTTTAAATGTTCTGAAGTCCTACAGACATGACAACTAAAAATGATCAAAAGCTTACCAGAACTGATTGCTAGTATTGGCAACAGTATCCCTATGATACTTTTCTCCTGAAATCAAATCCTCATTAGTGTTCACCATGTGATGGATATGTTAATGGCTGACCTCTAGCAACCATCCAATTCTCAGAAAAACTTGATACAGGTACTTATTTACCCTTATGACAAATAGGGAAACCGAGTCACAGAACGACCAAGGAACTTGCTAGGAGGTGGTGAGGCCAGAATTTGGACCAGGAGGAGATCTGGCTCTTGAGGTCTTGGTTGCCTAGGTTCTGTTGATGCCCTAGGCAGAGAAGCATAGGGATGCAGATTGGCCTGCCAGGTGACGATGGTCCCCGTGGCTTCCAAGCTCTAAGCCTGCAATGTCCTGCCCTGTTGTAGTGTAAACATAATGGAGCAATCACCAGGGTTGTTGCTGAGGCATCCAGAAAACTGACTTTCTACTGGAATAAAGCACCACAGAGAGAAACCTCATTCACAGGCGGGATCGAAGCAGCTGGTTCTGACTGCTGCTTAAAAGCTCAAGCGAGGAGGGCTGAGGAAAATCAAGACGTGAAACCGGGTCTGTAAGGCAAGGGGGTGAGCGGCTGAGGAGGTGGCTCAGTGGGTACGATGCTTGCTGAGTCCACGCGAGAACCCGGCACAGCGCTGGGGCTGGTTGTGGTGGAGATAGGCGGGTCTCAAGGCTCAGCAGCTAGGTCCTCTAGCTATGACAGTGAAGTCCAGGTTCAGCGAGAGACCCTGTCTCACAAATATTAGGGGTGAAGTGACGGAGGAAGACAGGTGATGTTGACTTCTGGCCTCCACACACACGAGCAATGTGCTTGCGTGTCTATGTTTGCGTGGGTACGCACGCGCGCGCACACACACGTACATGTGCACGCACATGCTTACAGAGGCATGGGGACTCCGAAGAACTCCGATCTAAGGGTTTGCGGCCTGAGACTTGTCTGGCATCACCTTTTCAGGCCATTAAGCTTGAAAACACTGCAGCAGGTTAATCCCGAGGTCCTTTCGTGCTCTCTGACGTCGTAGCATTTCCGATGAGAAAAGGATGAGGATCCTCATTATGCCTCTACGCCCTGCCCTGTCTCCTCTGCTCCCAAGGCCTGGCTGAGTTAGGAAATTACTTCCTTCGGAAATCCCTCTAAGTCCCGGTTCCAGACTCAGGGCTCCGAATGTCTTCTGCTAATGACTCAGTGGCGGAGCCCTGCGCCCTTCCTTCCCCTCTTCCAAGCAATTTAATCATAACCGTCCCTGAATGTTGTTTACTTAGTCATGGCAACGGAGCCGTTTCATAGGCCAATTAGCGACACAGACACTATTGACATCCTGGCTGTGTGAGGCGCGGTTCCGAGATTCTAGCAAGGAGGTTTTGACTTGGCTGGCGAGGGTGTTGTGGCCAAGGCCCATCTCCTTTGCGTGCATGCACAGCAGGATGCATTGGCTTGGTTTTCGATGCCATTTGTCGGGCAATCATGAGAAGGGAGAACGCAGCTCCTTTGGTCACCTTTCAAGGAGCCTATGAAATACGGACGGAGTCCTCCGAGAGCAGAGGACTTTCCCGGAGAGAAAGGCAGACTCCAGAATTTCAGTATCAAGCTTCTTTTCTTTTCCTGCTTGGAGAGACAAATATACAGCTGTTAAAATTCGGGTTTTGAAAATTGAAATTATAAAACGACAAGCCGCTGTGATAAAGACTTCTGTGCATGTGCATTCCAGCTGCTGTTCGGGCTCACTTTAAGATTCCGTAGTATTTTACTATTTAAATATTAGATCTTAAGATGAGATTCAAATGAAAAGGCTACATTGTATAAATAATTATAGCTGGATACTAAATTTGTAAATGGACACACACACATATATATAGTAGTTTATAGAGTTTTTGTACCTTTTTTATCATCAAAAATTATCCAACCATATTTCAAATCTCCAACCATAACATGTCACCATATATAAAGGGCAATTAGAATAAAAAAAAACCTTTTCTCAAGACAGGGTTTCTCTGTGTAGCCCTGGCTGTCCTGGAACTCACTCTATAGACCATGCTGGCCTTGAACTCAGAGGTCCTCCTGCCTCTCCCTCTTGAGTGCAGAGATTATAGGCGGGGGCTACCATTGTCTGGCTAGAATAAAGGATTTTAAACACGTTCAGTTCTGTGAGTGAAGAGACCAGTACACTTATCCTGACTTGATATGATGCACACATGTCTTGAAATATATCAGGGTAACCACATGCATGCACTATTTTTAATGTAACCAAAAGCTAAAATTTAAAAATGTAAACAAAAAATGTTCAGGCAAATTCGTTCCTGCCCATAGTTTGACTCATAGCTTGCTATTTCTCCAGTTGCCGGGAACATTCATCCACTTACATGGGCTAATAGATGCCTGTTACATTGTGAGCATCCAATGCCCACGTAAAAATGCTCTCAATTCCTCGGAAAAGAAGAAGGTTGTTTCCCGAGTAATATGCTTCCAAGAAAAGGACATGATGTCATTTATTTTACAGGTAAACTAAACCTTTGTCATGGCACCGAGTAGGTGCCAGGCGATGGGTTCGTCTAGTTGTCTGCCGGAAGTCATTTCCTCTTTTTCCCTCTTTACGCTCCTGTTGGAGAAACCCAGTGATTCTAGAGGAACCTCTCACTTCGAATCTTTTTTTTTTCTTTTTCTTTTTTTCTGTTTGTAAATTTTTTTTAATTTTTATTTAATTATTAAAGATTTCTGATTCTTCCCCGCCACTGCCTCCCATATCTCGCCCCTCCCCCAATCAAGTCCCCCTCCCTCATCAGTCCAAAGAGCAATCAAGTTTCCCTGCCCTGTGGGAAGTCCAAGGACCACCCACCTCCATCCAGGCCTAGTAAGGTGAGCATCCAAACTGCCTAGGCTCCCACAAAGCCAGTACGTGCAGTAGGAACAAAAACCCATTGCCATTGTTCCTGAGTTCTCAGTAGTCCTCATTGTCCGCTATGTTCAGCAAGTCCGGTTTCATCCCAGGCTTTTTCAGACCCAGGCCAGCTGGCCTTGGTGAGTTCCCGACAGAACATCCCCATTGTCTCAGTGTGTGGGTGCACCCCTCGCGGTCCTGAGTTCCTTGCTCGTGCTCTCTCTCCTTCTGCTCCTGATTTGGACCTTGAGATTTCTGTCCGGTGCTCCAATGTGGGTCTCTGTCTATGTCTCCTTTCATCGCCTGATGATCACTTAGGATCTTAGTTTGCCCTGAGAGTCAGTAAGTACGTTGGAGCACAAAACAATATAAAGCTTTGATAGAGTAAAACATCTACATAATTCAAGTGTAAAATGTAACAGCATCTCTACTTGTATGAAACACCCAGAACAGGCAAATCCATCAAACCAGAAAACAGGTAGTGGGCGTGGAGTGAGGTGTGGGGTATGGTTGCTTGGTGGGTGCCAGGCTTTTTCTGGGGGAGGTGGACACATTCTGGAATTGGATTGTGGCTTTGGTAGGACAACGTTGAAGATATTTAAATGCCACTGAGACATACACTTTGCGTTGATTAGTTTATGCTTTGTGAACTTGTGGGGGCTGGCGAAATGAGAAAATAAATTATTGCTACAAGCCGCAATATTTTACAGGAATTTCTCAGATGTCTTTTCACCAGCGACTCATGAGAGCCAAGGGCTTTAAAGGTTAAACCAAAATTCATAGAATTTTGGGATTATTGCTTTGTGAATAAAGTGGATTTTCATTGTAGCTGACTCCCCTTCTGATAAACATTTGGGAATTAATTTCCACAGTTCAGAACTGTTTCCTGTGCTTTTGGGGCTCACTGATCACATTCCCCTAGCTATGTGTGAAAACAGTTTCCCACTGCCAGGCCTTGTTCCTCTCTCCTAGGTAAACGCAGAGATCTGCCTTCCTGCAATTCTCTTTATCAACAGGCATTTGGTCAGTGTTTAGGATCTAGGCAAAAACATTCCATTTAAGACATTCACAGATATCCAAGGACATAGATTTACTGCTTGCTCAAGGCTGCTGATTCATAGCTGCTCAAAGAGAGAAGAATAACCATGCCCTGATTTTACCTCACTTGAAGATAAGGAATACAACAACCCAAAACTGACCTTATGCTGAAAGATTCCTAACTCCTTACGCTCACCTTCACCTCACTTCACCGATGGATTTTAATTCAGGAAATTTACTGCCTGTGTTTTACTCTCAAGGACCGCAGAAGAGATGATTAACAGCAACCCAGAGAAAGACTTCCTTCCTGCTGGCACCACAGGCCCACAACGCCCATGATCAGAATGGCCGATAACAGCGTACCCTGGAACTGATCATTTAGAGGCCTGGGTCGCCTCTTTGTTTGTGCTGCTCAGAGCAATAGGTGTAAACTCCAGACCTGAAGGCCCAGAGAAATCGCAGCGTCTGGTGAATGTGCTCTCAGATCAGGAGCCACAGCTTCTCCCTGACTGTTTATATGCGTTGCCTGATTACCCAATTTCCCCTGTGCATGCTGGGAGAAAAAAAGTGGTGCACTGATTTAAAAAGCAATCCGTGCCCTATTCATAATTTTACTGAAAATAAACTTTTAATTCTTTATCTAGCTGCCTAAAAACGTAGCTTAATGCACTAGCGTTCCTCTTTAGAATTCCCTGATGATTTTTATCCCTTTCTTAACTAACTTTCTACATTAGGGAGTTCACTAGACAAGCACTAAGTTACACTCACCTTTGAGATGACAGTCACGGATCTCTCTCTCTCTCTCTCTCTCTCTCTCTCTCTCTCTCTCTCTGCGCGCGTGTGTGTGTGTGTGTGTGTGTGTGTGTGCTGGGGAATTGCTGGTTATAAGGGTGTGTATGACTGGGGACATTTATAACAGAGGAAGAAGAATAAAGAAACATGGATAGAAAGATTAGGTTATGAGTAGTTTTCTTAGCCCTGACGTTTTAGCTCCCTTTGCTTATTGTGGTGTCTTTAATTGAACCCTGGGAGGGATTCTTACTTAAGAGCTGGACTCTTAAGGTTCACATTAAGTACTTTGCAAGGGGGTCTACAACCTGGTTTGGGTCTCTGCTTTACTCTCTCTCTCTCTTTCTGAAATAACAAACTATGTGGCCAGAGTAGACAAGTGCCTAGACATTGTGGGATTGAAATCACCTCATGTCAGAACTCTGGTTTCCTTCTCATATCCCTTTTCTCAGATCTACCTGTGCTGTGGTTCCAAGCCTGGCATTCTGGATTCTGCTGGTGTGTGCGTGCATGTGTGTGTGTGTGTGTGTGTGTGTGTGTGTGCATTTGATTAAAACAGAGCCGAGGAGCTTTAAGAACCACTGGTCTAGTTCCTTGAATCCTCAGGTGTCTCATTACACGTCCCCATCACCACCTGATGGCCTTCTGACCTTGTGTCTCTAATCTCAGCCCTGCCTGTGGCCAAATACCTTCCAAGAACTCATCCCCACAAGGAGGTTTAAGGTTACCATTTTTATTTGTCTGTTTTCTTGCCTGCCTCCTCTAGAAGGTGACCTTGGTGGGCGCCAGACAGAGACATTCCACTATTGTTGAGCTCCTGCCTCAGCAAAGTGCTAGCGAGACCACAGTGAAATGAGCCAGCCTGGCCTCCTTATTAACAAAGATCTGTCCACCGGGAGAGGCAGTCTCACGCCAGCAGGAATGAGTACGGCCCTAGGGTTCAAGGCTGTCACTGGGAAGGTGAGACAAAGTTTATCTGAAGAAGTCACTCCTGAGTAAAGCAGGAAGGAATTAGGCGGAGAAGAGAGAGGCTAGCATTCCAGGCAGGAGATACCGCTTTGTGCTGAGGTCCAGTGGTGAGCAGGTTTGAGGTGTCTAAGGAGCTGAAAGATGGTGGGAAGAAGACGGAGGGAGGAGAGAGATGGATACAGGCCTCATGGCCCAGACAGGCACTTCCATTTTGCCCATGAGAACCATGGAGCTAGAGGAGATGTAAGGAGATCAGGAAGTGGTGATTTAATCGGATTTGCTGCAGTGGAGGGGAAACCAAGGGAGGACTTTCCGTGCCTGGATGTGCGCCCTTCGCTTCCCTTCCTCACTCTAAGCAGTCTGTGGTCTGAGTTCTGGGTTCAAGTTCTTGCTTTGAATGCAGGATCAACAGGGAGTGAGACTTCTCTGGGTGGCTATGTATCTCCTCACGCTCAAACATCACGGAGGAAAAAAAGCCTGCCAAGGGGGCATGCAGTAATAATTTTCTTTTGACTGTGTTTAGAAGCATCCAAATGCAGCAAACCTTTTTCTATACAATGACAAGATACAGCAAAACAAGCAAACCCCTAAAAGAGGGGGCAGTGTTGGTTCTTCTCTCCAGAGTTCACCTGTTAGGAACTTTTCATGTTATCTCCTCTGAAACCCTTGACTAACTCACCAGTCACAGATGCGTGAGGTCACACCTGCTCCTGCTCCCCGCCCTTATCTGGCCTCCAGCCTGCCCCCCTGTTCCCCGCCCTCACCTGGCCTCCAGCCTGCCCCCTGCTCCCCGTCCTCACCTGGCCTCCAGCCTGCCCCCCTGTTCCCCACCCTCACCTGGTCTCCAGCCTGTTCTCCTGGACGTTTTTCTACTGATGGATCACACTCAGCCCACTCCAGCCTCAGAGCTTCTCAGCTGTCGCTCTTTTTGCCTGGAGTCTTCTTGTGTGGATCTTGGATCTGAGTTCTCCTCCAGCAGACCTCTCTAAATACATATCCTATTATGACCCCCTGTGTAGAGCGCTGTCAGAAGCTGTCGGTTCTCTGTCGGGGACTTGACTGGTTTTCCCGTTGGCTCTCTAGTGTCTGAAATGGCCTCATTCCAGTCACCTCTCAAGCGCGGAGAGGAATGACTGGCCTTGAGGGAGATAGAGAGTAGCGTTTGTCAGAAGAATGGAAAGATTACACAGCTGTAGTCTGTCAGGTGAGGCACGTGATATTGACCAGGGTCAGTTACCTCCTGCTAAAGATCTCCGATCCCCGGGAACTTGTCTGTAGGGGCAAGCTGGGTCTCTGACTGCTCATTCTCTCTCTCTCTCTCTCTCTCTCTCTCTCTCTCTCTCTCTCTCTCTCTCTCTCTCTCTCTCTCTCTCTCTCTCTCTCTCTCTCTCTCTCTCTGTCTCTCTCTGTCTCTCTCTTAGGAAGTGAGATTTTTGTTTTATTTTATTTTTCTGGCTTGGCTATTGTCAGGAAGCAGAGACAATGAATGTCTGATACACCTCCTATGTAGGACAGGAGGACTAGACCAGAAACAAACTGTCAGCAGTTGGTAAGGTGGCAGCAGCCGTTGATATTGCCAGGACAGGGCATGTTTCACTGGCAGTACTTGGACAAGGTTACTTCAAGGTCTTATCTTCAGTTAGGGTGGCATTGCTCTTCTGTGCCCAGCATGCTGGGCAGATACTGCAAAGGTTTATTAGCTGGGGGTGTTGAGTCAGTTTCTGGATCTTGTGGTTTGCTTTCATTGCTCTTGCTGGTGTCTCAGGAATGCAGCTCACTGTCAGAGACCATAGGACTAAGGAACGGTCATTTTTCCGGCTCCTTGGTGGTGGGTGATACCCCTCCTCTAACGCAGGATTTGTTTAGGGGTGACCTCTGAAAGAAGACAACGGGGGCCAAGATGGAAACCAGTACACTGGGGTTTGGTTTCCAGGTGAGGGTGTCAGTTTGAAAGGTTGTGGGATCTTTAAGAGGTGGAGACTTCCTGTAGGAAGAGGGTCACTGGGTGTCGGCCCTGAGGTTATTGTACAGCCCAACCTCTTTTCCTGTCTGTTTTTTGCTAACCTAGGGAGACCGGCCACCTGAAGCAGGAGTTTAGTTCACAGTAGGTCAAAGGGAAAAGGGTTCCTCACATACACTACAGCGGGAATAGATGTGAGAGCTTATTCATGCTAGGTTTAAACAGAAAGTCAGGAGCACCAAGGACATGACAAACACACTTGTAAGCTAGGTACAGGACAGTAAAGAAGACTGGACAAGACTCAAGTCAGACAAACCATGAGAAAAAGCATTGGTAAACAAGTCAGAGAGCTTCCACAAGATCCCAGACCACCTGGGAGACAAAGAGACAGCCACCACGACACTGCTGCCGCTTCTCAGTAGCTGTAAGGACAGAGGGACCTTAGAATAATGGACATCAATGAGGACACCCGCAGGGCCAGTGGTAATATTGAGGGCTTTGCTTTCTCTTTTTTTACTAAATGTATCTTGGGAACCTACCTCATTTTTCCTTAATTTCTTACTGTTCTGTAAACCTCTTAATAAAGTTTACCTTCTTGCTCTGGCAAGTGTCTGCATCTTTAGTCTTTACTGGCCTGAGACAGTGAACTTGGGCTCACGCCTTGGGTCAAGCCCAGCGGGCTGAGAACGGCTTTTGGCCTTAAGGCTGGTAACAGTCTCAAGTGTTCCTGTCACCACCCTTTCCTCACCGAAATGGACTACATTCCTACCTAATCATCAGTCAAAATAAAACCTTGGTTTCTTGAATGGCTTCTTATCAAGTATTTTGTCCACAGACTAGAAAAGAAAGTGATACTTGGCTCTTCTAGAAACCAACCGAAAAGTGCCCTCATCTTGTCCAAGAATAAACAGCATCCCATCGCAAGGTCACACATACCTAAGCTTCAAACGGAGGAGGCAGTGTCTCTCTTATCCTGAACAACAGGATTCCCAAGTCCTGGAATCTCCGGGGGGTTGCTCGGAAGCCTGCCTGAGCTTTGGGTCTATATGCTCCCCAACCCTATCTATATTTTTTTAGCCTTTCCTCTCTGTATCACTCTGTTGGTGTCCCTGTTACAATGTAGCTAATTTGTTTATAATCATCCCTCTGAGGAGACTGTCTCCCTCATGTTTGTAACCCCAGAACTTAGCAAAGAACTTGGCACAGCCTGGGCTCTCTATAAATACCAAGTGAGTTTAAAATGGGGCTTTATTTTCTGGCTCGAATTCACCGATGTCTCAATGAGTTTATTGATTCTCCACTGTGAGCCAGGAGGACAGTAAGAAACGGAGGATCCCTCACCTCCAGGGAATTTGTGTTCCTGCTCAATCCAAGATCCATGATAGCAGCTGGCATTGGCTGAGCAGAGGCGTTGAGCCAGTAGCTTACACACGTCCACGATTCTCTATCTCCATATTGCTCCTGAATCTCACAGCTGTCACGGGGCAGAGCAGGTGTTGTGTGTGACCCCAGCTACATGCGCCCAACGGCTATGTTGAACGAAACCACGAACATTCGTAGCTCTGCCTTGAATCAGAAAGCAGGGTTAGACTCTGGTTTCAGATCTGAGAAACACCGATTTGGGGGGAAGACACGTAGGTCTGACCAACCTGAGGGTGGGGCAACTGGGTTTTCTAGGTGATGAGGTTGTGGGACAGAGCTCTCTCTGCCTTCTTCGAAAGAGGGAGAGGTTTTGGTTTCGTCTTCAGATCTGAACATCGTTTAGGCTGTTAACCTTAGCCTCACTAGACAGACATCCACAGATGTTCCCTGTCACTTCCTCTCCTCTTCACATCCTGGGGACGGAGAATAGGGGCCTTGAGTAAAGAAAGAGGAAGGCGAAGAGGAATGAGGGCAAGCTGGTGAGCATCCCAAGCTTGGTGATCCTGCTGCGGACCACGCCCTCGGCTTTTGGCCTGGTACCCCAAACCCTACTTTGAACTCCCGCCCCCTCTGAACCACCACCAATGCCCGGCCGAGGAGCGCGCAGGAGGCTGCGGATTGGTGGACACCGCGGTTGCCGCGGTTTCGGGTGGGGTCCGTGGGGGTCCCCGCGCCGGGCGGGGCTAGGGCTGTCCCTGGTCCCTGGTGCCGCCTCCATCTGGGTCTCCACCTCCCGGACCTGCGGCGTTTGTGCGGTCCGGAGCGCGGCTTCCCCACGGGCGGCGCGATGGGTTGCGGGAACTCCACTGCCACCAGCGGGGGCGCGAGCCGAGGTAAGCGGTGTCGCGGGGCGTGGGTCCCGCGGGAGAGGTTGCCGCAGCGGGGGGCGCGCAGATCATCGCCCCATCCCCATTTTCGAGACTGGAGCGTTTCTGGAAAGACCGAGTGGGAGCCGGTGCCCCGTGCGGGGGCGGTCACGCCCGAATTCAGCGGGGAGGATTGTCGCCTGGGTCCTGCAGCCGGGCTCTGCACCCTTCTGGGGACCAGAATTTCCCGGACACGTCTCGGGTCCCTCACCTCCCTTTTCAATAGGGCGCCTCCAGGCCTCGCCCCCTCCCCCGCCCCAACCCCTTTGCTCCCAGACCCTGTACCTGGAAAAGTGCAGCTGACCAAGTCAGGACTTTTCTGGGGCTGGGAGTGGGGCCGAGTGCCCGTGGGTTTAGAGCAGCAGCCGGCGGGGCTCCGGAAACGCATCCGTGTGGTGTGGGTCTGCTTACTTAAGACCCACCGGGCTGCGCTCTTAGGCGCTCACTGAGAAGCTGCGGTAGCTAGACGCTCAGATTCGCCTGAGAAAGCTTCGGTATTGGCCTTTCTATTGATATATTTTCACTTAAAAATATATTCAAACTTGTCCAGGCACTGCTTCATTTCGTTGATTGGCAGGACAGGACTTCTAAGATTTTCCTGGCCAAGCCCGGCTTTGTATCAAGCGACTTACTGTAAGATGCAGGTCTTCTGATTAAACTAGCCGATGTTGGATTTGTTTGGGGTTATTCTCTGCTGACGTATTTCCAGCGTCTTTTTTGGACAGGATTCCCTAGCTTCTCTAGCTGAGTTCGGTGAGGCACATCCCACCCCAACCAGCAAGTACAAACAGTTCTCCATCCTGCAGTGTTTACTAAGCTAATCAGGATGCCCTGCTAATGATTTTGAAGCTTGGGGCTGCCACCTCCCTTAGCCAAGACCTTGAGGCTTGGTAGTTATTTTTATTTCAGATTGTTTGAAGTACTCAGGTTTGAAACCAGGGTCTGATATTGCACACGTCGGGCAGGACTTGGACCACGGAGCTCCATTCCCTGTATTGTTTTTTTATTTTGAGATAGGGTCTCACTAAGTTGCCCAGGCTTGCCCTGAACTCCCCCTGCTGCCCAGACTGGCCTTTAATTTGCGGTTCTCCTGGACCAGGCTCTCATGAGCCGGGATGGAAAGGCCTGCAATAATAGCAAGCCTGGCTAATCTTTTAACATTTCCACGATGGCTTCCATTCTGGAAATCTACCCAAATCACTGACCACAGTTGGTCTCTCTTTTGGGGCTGCCAGTGTCATTCTTGTGGACTATCAAATACAGTTTCAAGAGCTACAACCAAAACACCTGAAGTCTAGGCCCAGGGAAAGTTTATCTGTCCCACGTGACCTTCAGTGTCTTCAGTTAAGGTCTGCCTTGGTGATCTGCAGACAGCCACTGGGAAGCAAATCTTTTAGGTTCATATAGCAGTGACTCAGCTTAGTCAGTATCATATGCAAATGAATACAGGATCAGGATTCAAGCAGAGAGTGGCCATGTTTCCTTGCAAGAGGAAATCGGGAGAGTGACATGGTGCCTAGGTCCCAGGTTCTGTGGTTCCATGTAAGCGTACTGCATGTGTGTTAGGTCGTAAGAAAAGAAAGTTAACAAACAAACAAGCAAAACAAAAATTGGAAGAGGGATCCATAGCAGATTTTCTTAAAAAAAAGTGGAGCAAGTTTGTGCATTTGCATTTTTTAAGAATTTGTTTTTTATTTCTCTCTCTCTCTCTCTCTCTCTCTCTCTCTCTCTCTCTCTCTGTGTGTGTGTGCGCTATGTTGATGTAGGTGCCTGAGAATACCACCAGAGGGCATCACATTCCCTGGAACATTAGTTACAAGCTGTTGTGGCCACCACATTAGTGCTGGGAACCAAACTTGGGTCCTCTGTAAGAGCAGGAAACGTTCCCGACTGCCCCGTGCTTTTACATTGTCGTTAGCAGACCCTTTGTCAAATTTTGGGGGGTAGAGGGAGAAGTTACCATTGTTAAGTAAAGATCAGAACGATAACGAGGCAGTTCTGAATTGTTAATACACAGGTTGCATTTCAGTGATAGTGTGGCTAAGCAGTCTAGAAATTGGGCCTGAGATGTAGCTCACTTGATAGAGGACCAGCCTAGCACACACAGAGCCCTGGGGTCCATTTCCAGCACCCGATAAACTGGACGTGGGGTGTGGGTCTGTGAAGCAGGAGGGAGGATCAGAAGTTCAAGGCCTCACTTTACTGTGAGCTCAAGCTATCTTAAAAACAAAAACAAACAACTTCCCCCTACCCCAACAAACCACAATCATGTTTGTTAGTGATCTGTGCCTATCATCCTACACTAAGGAAAAGAGGGTCAGGAGGTTCATGCCAGGTTCATGGCCAGCCTGGTCTATATGGGGAGTTCCAGGCCAGCCAGAACTGTATCTTAAGAAAAAAAGAATCCCATTTCTTGTGGAGGGGGTGGGTGGGTGATTCTATTTACAAATATTTGATTGGCTTTTTTTTTTTTTTTGAGTAGATGCCTCGTTGGGTAGAGGGAAATCTAGCTACACTGAAAAAATTCCCTCAAAGTGCACATCCTTAACGACCACTTTTGTTTGTGAAGGAAGAGCATGCAAGAGCGTGCTGTTCCCTGCCTTGCTCTTTGCTGAAAATTGCCTTCTTGTTCAGAGAGAGCAGGGTAGGGCGTACACGCAGTTTGCCAGGAAGGAGAAGGCAAACAGAGTGGACGTGTCTGCATCCCCTCTAACCCTTGGCTTTGAGAAGTCGTTCCGAATATTCCCCAGCCTGTGTGTCCAGCTGGCTGGTTTCAGGATTTGGCCATTGGTATGTTCTGTCTGTCAGCTGGTGGCAGGAATTTTAGTTTCTGAAAAGGGCTACGTCAGGATGAGAGCCAGAAGGGCACGGAAGGAATGTCCCGACACGAAGATAAATATGTCCCAACTGTGACCTGTGACTTCAGTGTCAGGGACTCTTAGGGCCAGGCTGCAAACCTGTCCCGAGCCTATGAGATTCGGTGAATAATAGATGCTGTTGTCCCGGATCTGTAGGTATGAACAGATCACAGCTACTAAAATGTCCTAGAAATCCTGCTCTCAACATTTTATACTTTTCAATTGCCACACTGAAAAAAGTTAAATGATTAAAAAGGCAAAGAGAGGTGCGCCATGCTGGTGACCTTGAACTGGGAGCTTAGACTCACCCTTGGCTTTGCATTCTGCCTGGCTGCGTGGCTGTGGGCATTTCACGTTGCGTTCTGAGCTCTGCTTCCTTTATCTGTATCGTGGGGGATAATTGGATGAACTCTGTTTCCTAGGGCCAGTGTGAAACTCCAAATCAGATAATGGAGGGAAACACTGTAAAATGAGATTATTATATTGCGGTAAAAAGTTATTAGTATGTTGAAAAGATGGCTTTGGTGAATATTTTTTTTCTACAAGAAAATGACAGATCTACTTTTGTCTCAACAGGCCTGAAATTACCATTATAAACTTAATTTTAATTTTTTTTTTTTGTGACAGTCTCACTATGTAGTTCTGGCTCACTTGGAACTTGAAACTCGCTATGTAGATTGGGCTAGCCTCAAATAAACCCTTTTATTCCCTATGTATTCAGGAAAAACCAGATAATTATTTCTCTCTTCTCCCGGCTATCTAGACCCTTGCCTTTCTTGGCTGCGGCCTGGCGAACTTGGCTAATATGACGGGCCGACACACAGCCATGGGCTTGAGTACATGTGATTCTCTATGCCACATCAGTGGAGAAGCTGGAGGATGTGGCCGCGTGGCCGTGAGGAAGGAAACACATTGGAGCCTCTTCCTGGCTCAGGTTCCCCTGTGCCCTTGCCTTCAGCTCACCATGCCCCCACCTCAGTGCAGAGCAGGAGATGGGACTGGCAAGTGCAGCTAAGCTTCCTGACTATTGAGGGGCTCACTGAGCAGGGAGGCTGAGTGAGCAAGGGCAATTGCTGCACCATGTACATAGAATACACATAGAACACCCGCGCGACAGTGCTCGCCAGAGAGCTTCCTGGAGGAGCTGAGGTGTTGATGCAGATGGAGACCCTTTCGAGCCTTCAAAAGCTTTGCATTTTAAGTCCCCCCCCCCATTTTTCCCTTGCAGTGCTGTCTGTCCAACTCGGGATTCTGGAACCCCCGATCGCCTTGCCTTGGTTTCCACAGCCCAGTTCCAGAACTTTCCCACCACCCTCAGGTGCGGCTCATTTTGACGCTTTGGTAGGAGCACTTTCTCCCTGCAGGAATTTGATTTTTTCCAACTCAGAGCTCCGGAAGACAGATGCTTGCGGTTCCCATTCTGTGATGCTTTAGCACGTTTCTCCAGAGAAACCGCTGTATAAAGTGGACTGTCTGGAAGTGTTTGGAGGTTTATTCCAACACGGGGAGCTTTGGGGTGCCCCTGCTCAAGCAGCCAGGAACCCCTTCTGCATGTTCTCCCTCCAGCTCTTCCCTCAGGAGGCAAAGACCGAAGACCTTACTCAGTCTCTTTTAAAAAAAAAATCATTGGGCAGGCTGGGCACAGTGGCTCATTCCTTTAATCCCAGCACTCAGGAGGCAAAGAAAGAGGCCGAGACAGATGGATCTCTGTGATTTTGAGGCTAGCCTGGGTTACATAGCAAATTCTAGGCCAGCCCGGGATTTTATATTGAGATCTTACCTCCAAATTCAATAATCAAGTAAATAGCTAAATGAAAAAAAATTACACAGAGGACTGGGGATTTGGCTCAGCTGGTAAGCTCAGCTGGTAAAATGCTCGCAATCACTGAAACCTGAGTTTGATCCTCAGAATGGCGTACAGAAAACTAAAGGGGTAACTTAGGAAATGCAAGTTATTAGGATGTGTAAATGAAAGTTGTAAGATCTGGGAATGATAAAAGAAAATATTTGAGGGGCTAGAGAGACGGCTCAGAGGTTAAGAGCACTGACTGCTCTTCCAGAGGTCCTGAGTTCAATTCCCAGCAACCACATGGTGGCTCACAACCAACTGTAATGAGATCTGGCGCCCTCTTCTGGCTGCAAGTATACATGCATGCAGAACACTGTATATGTAATAAATAAATCTTTAAAAAAAATTCTAAAAAAAAAGAAAATATTTGACATGTAAAAAGAAAGAAACATGTTTCAGATATCTTTCTCTTGCTATTCTTCTGTTATGTTGAGACTCCAAATGATTTTAATACTAATTAATAAAATCCTAAAAAAAAAAAAAGAAAGCTAAAGGGTGGTGGTATACATAATCCCAGCGCTGGGGGAAGGAGACAGGATCTCTGGGACTTGCTGGTCCTCCAGTTTACCATACTCAGTCAGTTCCAGGCTGGAGGGGGAGGGTCCTGTGAGTACAGATGGGTGGGCCTCGAGGAAAACCACCCAAGGCTGACCTCTGACCTTCACACGCACATGCATGCCTGCACTCACAGACGGGTATTCCTGCATGTATACAAGCAAAGTATAGGTATACACTATTAAGTGAGCCTTTGGAGTGTGAACCAGAAAAGTCCCTTTCTAAGTCAGTCAGAAAAATCCCTTAAAAATTCCACTGGAGCCAGGGGAGATTGCTCTGGTTAGAGCATTTGCCACATGGGTGTGGGAACTGGAACCCACAGGAGCTGGGTGGGTGTGGCAGCCACCTGTAACTCCATCTTTTCCTGTCATTCTCCACTTGATTTTTTAAGACAAAGTTTCTTACTGAACCTGGGGCTCACTGTTCTGGCCCAGAAATCCCAATGAGCCTTTGGCCTCTGCATATGGCTCTCCCACAAAGCTGGGGTTACAGATAAGCTGGCCCCCTACAATGCTGGGATTATAGGAAAGCTTTCCCTCAATGCTGGGGTTACAGGCAAGCTGCTCCCACCCCAATGCTAGGGTTACAGGCAAGCTGCTCCCACCCCAATGCTGGGGGTTACAGGCAAGCTGCTCCCACCCCAATGCTGGGGGTTACAGACAAGCTGGCTAGCCTCAGTGAATAAGGTGGAGAGAGCTTGAGGAAGACAAAATGTCAGCCATGGGTTTCCACATGCCTGTGTACCCATATATATACGAACATGCAAACACACGTGTGCATATACATGTACACACATACACATGAAAAAAGTCCCAGGATTCTCAGATGTCTGCAATGCCCTGCTTCTGTGCAGGCTAATTGTTTCTAGTTGTTTAAAATAACTGGGCAGTTATTTTAGAAGCATTTGGCGTGTGCCATTTGAACCAGCTGTAATTTTTACCAGAGATAGGCAATGGGCAACCATCTGGCCTTAATTTTGTGGGCGGCTTATTGTCACAATGCTTCTGATTTTAATGTAAGGGTAGTCAGAAGGGGAGGAGCTTAGCAATCACCTCATTTTACCAGCGCCCCTGGGGAGTTGATATCATGCTTTGGGGTCCAGTTATTTAGATTAGTGGCCGCATTGTCCTCAATTAGCTAAGTAATTGTTTTCCCTTTAATGTAAGCACCAAGGTCCAGCCTTGATTGGTGGCAGTAGATGGTTTGTTAGTGTTGGAGCAGACTGCTGGTGTTTAGCTTTAGCCCAGGCCTGGGGGGGGGGGGTGATGGAAGACTTGGATGACGTCATCAAAGTGGTCTTTTGTATCTTACCTTACTCTCTCCTCCTGCCTCTAGTGCTGGCTAGGCCACCGGCACTTCTTTCTGCTCTGTAAGCAGCTGCACTGTTTTCTCTCTGAAGCACATTTTCTGGAGAGCTGCTGTCTTGTCCTTTCTTGTCTCATGTGTTTCTCTCCCCCGAGGGACATCCTCCTGAGAGCCCCTTCTATTTTATTTATAGCAGTATCCTTGGCTTCTAGACCGATCTCTAAAATTAAATAATTGTATTTTAATCAATCAATCAGTTAATCAATTTGTGTGTGTATGTATGTGTGTGTATGTGTGTGTGTGTGTGTACATGTATGTGTATGTGTCTACATATACAGATGTGGTGGCCAGATGTTGAAAGTCTTCCTGTATTTTTTTTTTTTTTTCTGTGTAACAGCCCTAACTTTCCAGGAATTCGCTTTGTAGACCAGGCTGGCCTCGAATTCACAGAGATACATCTACCTCGGCCTTCCTAGTGCCAGGATTAAAGGCGTGTGCCACCATGCTGAGCAAGTAAATCTATTGATTTACACCTCAATTCACTCCCACCCCCAACCAGAGACAGGGTTTCTCTGCATAACAGGCCTGGCTAACTCACAGAGATCTGCCAGCCTCTGCCTCCCTAGAACTGGGATTAAAGGTGTGCACCTGGCTTTTACTTTACCTGGCTTATAACTTACTTTTTAAGATAGTCTCTTCCTGAACCTGGGGCTTAGGTTTGAACTAGACTGGTTTCTGAGAGCCCAGTCTCTGCTTCCCTACAAACACTGGGGTTGCAGGCATGTGTTTCTCTGCGTGGCTTCCCCGTGGATCAAATTCCTTACACCTCTGCAGCCAAACTGCCCTAACTCCTCAACCTCAAAACTTATAATGGAATTTTTTTTAGCATTCTAAAAATACTTATTTGAATGAATGAGTATGTTTGGGAGACAAATACAATGGAAAATGAAGTTTTAAATTGTGCGAGCACTCTGTGACTGACGAAGTAATTGGGAAAATGAGCTGAGACCCTGAACAGTCAGGAAAGCCTGCTTGCAAGAGGTGGGACCCGGTGGGTTTTGAAGAATCTGTACAATTTGAATAACTAGTAAGAGTAACTGGGCTAATGTTTTCACGGGGTTTAAACAGTGCCTCCTCTGTTGAATGGGCTTGTTAGAGTTCCATAGGGAAGGGCATTCACAAATGACACTGAAGGAGAGGAGGTGTGTGCTTACAGAAGGGTCACCATTCAAAGAGGCTAATGGAGCCTTTGAAGTGCGGAGAGTGTCTGGGCCGAGGTCCAGAGGCCAGACCTGGAAGACTGGCTGCAGAGCAAGGGATGCAGGTGTGAATGGAGGAGAGGATGAGCAAGTGAGTGGAGCTGTTTGGGTAGCAGGAAGGAGGCGCTGCTCACTGTGAGACTAAGGTAGCAGGGATGGGAGAGCGTCAGAAATGGCAGGGACAAAGAGGGAACTGGCAGTTACCTCTGCTTGGCAGTCATCTCAGACAGAATCACGATATTCTTTCATCCTTCACGTCACGTCGTTCATCCTCTGTCCTCAGAGCTGACACTGTGACCCGCTGAGTTAATCACTTCCCCCACGAGGGACTTTCTGTGGATGGCCGTGGATGAGGTTATGCTACAGCCGCTTAGTGTCAATGTTTTACCTTATTTGGGGTGAGTGCGTGCACGTGTGTGTGTGTGTGTGTGTGCGCGCGCGCGTGTGTGTGTGTGGTGCCTGGAGGCTTGAGGAAGACACCAGATAGCCTGCTCTCCTTCTCTACCTTATTTGAGTGTGTCTCTCATTGAATCTGAAGCTACTCACCTGGGTTAGACTGGCTGTCCAGCAGGCTCCCCCGTGCTGGGGTTGCAGTCACGCTTGGCCGTGCCCTGCTTTCATGTGGTGCTGGGGATTTGAACTCAGGTCCACGTGGGTCTGCAGCAAGCTCTCTTACCCACTACACTAGTCCCCTAGCCCTGCCTTTGTTTATTTTTGCTTTTCACTGTTCGAAAGTTAAAATATCATAAGGACAACCTAAAGACAAGGAGTTGTTCTGTGAGAGCATCTGTGCTCATTGACACAGTTGTCTATCTCTAGGACACGTTGACCTGAAATTTCCTCTTCATTACTGTAATAAATGCAGCTTTTGAATCCGTATTGTTTTTGCTGGCTTCTTTTAAAAAGAAAAGCCAAAAGCCATTGTCTTGAACTAATGAGCTGTTGCTTTATTTCCTCTGACCAAGCAGAAAAAATGATCTAGATTTAGAATTATTGCCGGTCAGAGGGACCAGTGTTAAAAAATAAAAGTGTTAATATTAAAGGGAAGATTGTTTTTTTTTTTTTCCTGTAGATTTCACAGTTCTCAGCAGGAGTTTTCTTTTAGAAAACAGAGTGAGACGTTCTGCGTGTTTTTATCATTTCCCATAAGTACCAAAGGTATTTAGGTTTCTGATTGCTTATACTCTAAGAAGGCTTGTGAAGCTGTACTAGATGTTTTTTCTAATGTGAAAATAAATGGATGTTATTCTCTTAGAAGGGATAAGGGTCTGGGGTGGGGCTCAGTGTAGACCTCTTGGCTGGGATATGGCTCAAGGTTGACCTCTTTTTTTTTTTTTTTTTTTTTTTGATTTTTCGAGACAGGGTTTCTCCATAGCTTTTTGGTTCCTGTCCTGGAACTAGCTCTGTAGACCAGGCTGGCCTCGAACTCACAGAGATCCGCCTGCCTCTGCCTCCCGAGTGCTGGGATTAAAGGCGGGCGCCACCGCCGCCAGGCAAGGTTGACCTCTTGAGATGGGGTATAGCTCAGTGTAGATCTCTTGGGCTGTGGTGTTGCTGAGTGACAGGTACTCCTTCTTGGCTTGCTGGTTTTGATGCCCAGTGCTTCATAGTGGAGTGGAGTGTGTGTGTGTGTGTGTGGGGGGGGGATAAGTATTCTCTTGGCTAGTGTGAGGAACCTCTCCTATGAACAAGTGTGTAAATTTGAACAATACTAAGAACATCTGGGTCACCTGATTCATTCTTCTTCCTACTCACTCGGTATGGAGGAGCCTCAAAGGGTCATCTTCCTGTTGGAACCAAGACGAAGTGTGTTTCTCCAGCTACCAGGCTGACGTGGTGCCTGGCATCCTCGCTGGCCTGATGGTTCTCCAGGAACAACATTCTGTTTGCGTCCCTAGAATGTGAGACATGTCACAGTGGACTTAATCCCTTCAGATTGAATTTTCTTACGAGTTTCTTCCTCAAAGTGAAGTAATTAAATAACTAATTAATTTAGTGATGCTGGTGTTAATCCCTCTGGTCAAGAATAAGACCACTACCGCAGTTTAAAGCCAAATTTGAAGCAAGCTTTGATTAAATACTGGCCAGGTAGATGGGCTCCGGTCAGGTCCATACCTGGGTTCCCAGGAAATGGCCCTGAGTCATGGTTTGTAGGATCTTAAAGTATTTCCATCAGGTCCAATCAGGGGCGAGCATACATCCTGAGGTATTTCCTGCCCAGGAACCTCCCACCCACATGTGATCAAGTTCATGTAGTGAACAGACTTAAACAAACTTGTTTAGGGAGTGAAAGCGTGAGACTTGTTATCTCCCATAAACAGTAGTCTCCAGCATTTCAGGAACTGTCTCTCAGTCCTTGGCCAGGGGCTTGCAGATTAGAGGCATTCATTTTCCTTCCATAGATCTCTGAGGCATAGGAATTAAAACTTAAAATGTAACTTCGGCTCTCCCATTCCTTCCCCCACCTCGAGTTGTATCCTGAGTCAAATCCTTGACTCTGTGATGGTACCTGTTTTTATTGGGATCTAATAACCCTCAGCTTAATGTTGCCCAGACAGGAATTAGCATTTAGTTAAGGCATCAGTGATGCAAGAGCCAACAGCAGTCAGCAGAAGCAGAAGGGCCAGAGGCTGACATCAGAGCTATATCTAAAAGGGACCTGGAAGTGAGAATGGGGACCAGTTACTTACTTCCTCTCGGGTCCCCTTTCTTGCAATGATTTTTTTTTAGCCCAGCAAGACTATTTCTAATGATTCATGAGTGGTTTACATAGAAACAATTTTCTCCTAAAGCTGTACAATAACCTTTCTATTTTACATACAGCAGATCACGTGACCTACCATATTGTAGGCTATATCAGCTAATGGATTTACCTGTTGATAGATCTGGGCCTTTTCGATTTTAACAAGTACCTTTCCTGGTATGCCAATAGGCATTATTGATAACTATTTTTCCCCATACAAGGAAGTATCCTTTTGCTTTAACATCCCAGTCTGTTGCAGGATGAGGGGTGATGTTCTCTCTTCTGTAACTACTTCCTGCTGAAGCTAGGATCTTGTCGGAGCCCAGAACGACTGGAATGCTAGTCAAAAGCAAGGAAGGGAATCAGGCAAGGGGGCATTCATCAGAAGCCTCTGGTTAGCTGACCCAGCTGAAGAGACAGGGAGCGATCACCACATCAGCTGGACTGGTCTGCATCAGCTTCAGTTGAGGAAGGGTGGAGTCCCAAGACCAGGAGAGAGGGACCCCACCCTCAGGAATAGACAAGTGGGGAAACTTTAGGCTGTTCTTATCTGGAGTCCTTTTGACCTGTGAGAGGTAGATCAAAGTCTTATGATCCCCTAGAGGCTTATAGGAGTTTTTAATTTCCAGAGAACGTAAGTTTTAGGCATATTAGCATTACCAGTCTGTGCTGAAATCCACATTATAGAAGAAGCAGAAACAGGTGTCTGTAGGAAAGCTGGAGCAGACTCTCACCTTTGAGTCCTAGTAAAAGTTATAGATTTGGGTTAAAAAGCATGAATATTCTTTTCATCTGTCTGGAGATGTAGATCTAGATTGGACGGCAATGTCTTTAACCCAGTGAGAAGCACCTTAAGTCTGCACTTAGAATACAACCAAAGACAATTTAAAATCTTGTCACTGACTGCTGTACCAGCCTAGCAGAACTCCATCGCTCAACGCCCAAACTCTGAACGTTTGAAATCTTAGTGTAACAATAGCATAGAAAGGGGAAAGAAATAGGAAAGGTTTTACATTTTCATATATCTTTAATCACTTACTTATACCTTTACAACTTGCATTTTTATATCTTAAATCGTTTTCTGAGACCCCCAGAACATAAGCTTTCACACCCTCAGACCTTCATACATCTTAAAACATTTTCTTAGACCTTACGTAGATTTTAGCCCTTTTTCTTTTTGTGTAATCATTCACTAGAAATGTAAGTAGTTGTTCCTGAGAGGAGTCATGTTCCTTTCATGACCTGTCTATCTTTTAATATGAAGCCTTTTAACAAGACAAACCCATTTGCTTTTTCTCAGCAGGGTACCTAGTAGCTCTAGAAAAAGCAAGGCTTGTTTGTTACACATGAAATGAGCTAACAAGGCCGCTGCAGCCTTGGGGAAGAACCTGGTTTTAACTGCTCCTGCTAAGCCGACAAAGCTATAGTTAGCCTAGCCGTCAACACCGTCAGAGATCTGAGAAGGATAACTTGTAGCAGGAAGTACAATCCAAATATATCAATTAAAATGACAGAGACTAGCCCATTATTAGACTGTCATCCCAGGCTCCTGTGATCTCCATGGAGTTGGGAGCAGAGGTTCCAGGGCAACATCAGGTTTCACCTGCCAGGCCCAGAAGGGGAGAGGTTTTCCCACGGGGGAGGAACATGAGAGAGATGGATCTTCCTTTGTTTAGGCAAAGTGGGGCAGTCAACTCTCAGTGTCCTGCTTGTCCAGAGTTTGGGCCAAGTTCTGCGGCAGGTGCGGTATTAGGGCAGTCTTGCCCTGTGGTTAGCGTTACCACAATCCAGATGGAGTCTCCATGGTGCTGCAGCAACTTCTTTGGAGACCTCGGGGTCACTGCTAAAAGCTGGGGGTCCCTGTCATAGTAAGCTTTTCCATTAAACATTTTAAATGCCATATTTGGCAGATCTCTGGGAAGTTTGAGGACCATTATCTATTAAGTATATGTGAGCTAAGCAAACCTTGCTTGTTTTTAGTTACTTGCTTTAGGCTTCACTCTGAAAACACATACAAGAGGTAAATAAAGCTTTTATCTATTCAGTTTGAGCCTTAAAAATAACAATTTCTGAATTTAAGCTCCTTTCATTATCAAAATAAAACTTTTAACTCATAAGCACAGTCCACGGGGAACAGTTTCTTTTTCTTTTTTTTGGATTTTTCGAGACAGGGTTTCTCCGTAGCTTTTGGTTCCTGTCCTGGAACTAGCTCTTGTAGTCCAGGTGGCCTCGAACTCACAGAGATCCGCCTGCCTCTGCCTCCCTAGTGCTGGGGGGAACAGTTTCTTATATGACTCAGTTTCTCAAAAATAGCGTGAGATTAAGATCTTAAGTGCGAATAGATTTGACCGTAAGGAGAGACTTCTCTGAGCCAGCTGTTCTCAACTTTCCCAATAGTTCTCCACGTGGTGGTGACCCCACCCCCACCACAACATAATTCCCGTTGCTATTTCTCACCTGTAATTTTCTCACTGCTGTGACTCTCATTGCAAACACCCGACAGGCAGGTGGTCCTAGGCTACCCCTCTAAAAGAGTCTTTCACCGCCCCACAAGGGTTGAGACTTAAGAGCTTGAGAAGCCGCCTCAGGTACTTCGCCGGCCTGATTACGTCATCTTGCTGCGTCGTAAGACAGGAACAGCCCGACTTCCGGTGTTTAGTATTTGGTGCTCAAAGCTGTGGCCCTTATTTCTAACCTTTAAAAAAGAGTTCAAATATTAATAATATAAAACATCATTTTATGACCTGCCGCTTTTCCGGGTCAAGCGGGTTTAAAGTTCACATTTCACGTACCTATGTACTCTGGTAATTTTCTCACAGGTTTCCAAACAATTATACAATTTTCTTAAAAAAAAAAAAAAAAAAACAAAACAAAACAAAACAAAACAACCAACCAAACCTCTGAAACTCTGAAAAGAAGCACTGTGGAGCCAGATTCTTGTACCCTTGTTGCTACTTGGCTTCTCAGGGGCGCCACCCCCCCCCCCTTCTGAAAGTGAGGTGCGCTTTACAAATCCCACTTTTGCTCCTCCCACGTGGACCTCCTTTTGGAAGGTGACGCCCCTCATTCCTACTGAGCCGGCTGTGAGTTCCCCAGCAGGGAGCCCAGCAAGGAGATGTTCTAATGGCACCCGGGGCCTGGTGCCATCAAGGTGAAGAGGAGGGATGGAGAGTTCTCGGTGGCTGGTTGAAGTCAGTGCAGATAGCGTGTGGTGTGGTGGTTGGCCTTCGAAGCTGCTCTGTCTTCCAGGGTGTCCCAGTCACGAGACACGGCAGCATAAAGATTTAACGGCTCTTAGACAGACCCTGGAGAGGGGACAAGGACACCACATGGGACTGTTCTGTGCTGAGCCTGCCCAGCATCACCCCTGAGATGCCGCAGTGACTTCTGATGCTCGGCCCCTGCGCGATTGTCCCAGGTCTCTCCAGTGACCGTGGACTCAGGATGTGAATCCCAGTTTCTCACACCTCCCCCACCACACGAGGAACGGGAAACCACTCTCTACCCCATCCCATGAATAAAACTAAGATGGTTATTATTTCTTTCTAGCCTTTTTTCTAGATCCTCCACTTGTTTCAACTCTGGAATTGCTTATTTCGGAAGCAATGATTGTCTTTTATTTATTTATTTATTTATTTATTTATTTATTTATTTATTTATATGATCAAAATATCCTGTCCCTGGTTGTTTTTATTGTCTTATTTTTTTTTTAAATTTTAGGGTGGTGGTTTAAAGGATTTTAAATTCCAAAGTGTCTCTACCTGTTTGTCTGTCTGTCAGTCTCTTCCCCTTTCTTCCCCCACCAAATGCACACACACATACACACATGCATAGACACACATATGTGTACACATACATGCATAGTCAGTCATACATGTATGTGTACACCCGCAGTGAGTATACACCCCCCCACACACACACGCCCTATATGGAAGACACAGAACTTGGCTTCAACCCTGCCTAGTTCAGTGTCTCTTCCATATGTAGTCAACTACTTTGTAAGAACACCTTCCTCAGAGTTGTTCAGATAGAGGTGGGTGCAGGGCCCAGAAGAGCCTTGGACTGTGTCGGACTGTGCTTGCTCTGTGGGTAGGAAGTGGAAGGACCTAGACCCACAGCACCTTCTGCCTGCCTTGGGATCAGGCTGGTGTCCACATGGCTTACTTCATTGCATCTACAGCCTCCAGGTTGTTCCTGATTAGTGTGTCATGTGACTCCAGTAGCTCAGAGTAGACACCAGCCTGCAAGGGGACGTGAATGCAGAGGTTTCTTGATTTCGTTTTTAAACGTTTATTAAAAAGTGTTCTCGTGCCAGGTGTTGGGGCACACACCAATCCCAGTACATGGGAGGCAGAGGCAGGATGATCTCTGTGAGTTGGAAGCCAACCTTGTCTATGCAGTGAGTTCCAGGCCAGCCAGAGCTGCACAGCGTGAGACCTTGTCTCCAAAGACACACACGCATGTTTCAGTCTATTTAGGTATTGGACTTAATCTGTAGAAATACTGTCACACCAATGCAAATCTTTTTCTTTTCTCCCTTAGGTCCAACAGGAGCAGCTAAAGATTCGTAAGTACTCCACATTTTGGTGTTATAACTCCTCTCCCCAAGAAAGGCTGTTTCTTGTGGCTCTGACCTTTAGGGGACTAGGTATGGCAGAAAAGGCAGGGGACATTTTCTGCTCTGTGCACTGGTAGACCTCCTTTGATTCGAAGTGCGATTCGAAGGATGTTACTGTTTGTGACTGTTCGTGTCCCCCCTTCAGTGATCCTGGCATTCTGACTTAGCGTGTTAACAAGAAAGAGTACGGTGCTCTTTCCATCCCAACCTGCGCAGAGACTTGAGTTTGTAACAGGTGACGATGAGAACGCTCACCGCGTCGCTCCTGGGACTCCGTGTGTCTCAGAGCTATCCAGGGAGGAAACTGGAGGAACATTTACTCACGTGAACACTCACTCGTTTGAGTGGAAATAGCTAGATATTCCTAGATACTCAGGGGAACTGAACAGTCGTTTTCTACAGCTTGAGGGGGTCTTCATGTGTTCATCTTGGGGGGGGGGCTCCTGTGTTGGACGGTCAATCCCCAGATTCTTCTGTTAAGACTTAGAGGCTTTCGGGAGGCAGTTAGGGTCCATGGGATCATGAAAGTTGGAGTCCCATTGGCATTAGTGGTTTCTACGAAGGGGAAGAGAGACCATCCAGCTGTTTTTGTTTGTCTCACCGTGTCCCCAGCAGAAGCTGAGCATATGCTGCCTTGTGTTGTCAGACTTCACAGCCGCTAGAACCACAACCCAAACATACTTCTATGATTTGAGGTTTATCTGCTATCAGATGTTTTGTTATAGCCGTGGAAACTGGCCCAGGACATCCTTCTGTATAATCTGTGTTGAACTGATCGTTAGACTGCAGGACTTAATGACCAGAAGTCTCTCTGTGAGGTTTCTCGTGCTCAGGAATGCTGTGTTTCCATTGCTCTCCGTCTCCACCATTCTACTGGATCATATCTGTAATCTAGATACAACAAGGCCAGCACAGGAGCTCACTGTCTCAGGGGGTTTCTGGTTACAACGCTGGCCTAGTTTCGTTCCTGCTGCTGTGATAAACTACTCTGATAATTGAAGGGAAGAGGGTGACTTTGACTCCTTTCCAGAGGGACACTTCCAGTCTGCCTCGGCAGGGAAGGCATGGTCGCAGGTGGAAGGCAGGCCACGAGGACAGGAAGTTCCTGGTTGCATCAGCAGCCAGGAAGCAGAGAGAATAGGAAGTGGGGCCCACCCCCAGTACAGCACTTCCTCCAGCGAGGCTACACCTCCTGAAAGTTTCACAACCTTCCCAAACAGCATCGCCGGTTAGAGACCAAGTATGCAAACACAAACATAAGAACTTATGGGGGACACCGCACATTCACACTGAACCTATGGAGGTTGGGATTAACCTTCCTGCCCCAGATTAGTTAGATAATCTGACACAGTGTCAAGAGAGGATGCAAAAGTTTGGTATTTATTGGGTGAGGCTTTCTGGGAAGAACAGGGTTGCACACAGAATGGTCTGCTTGGATTGATTGAGGGATGGCCATGCCTTTGGTTTGTGTTGTGTTTGTTGGGAAATGGTCAGGGTGAGAGATCCTACACAGAAACTGGGTTTGACCTTCCTGATGGCCCAGGGAGGAACTGGCCAGACTTTTCCTACAGCTTGTGCAGGTTTCAGGCTGGAGGGGGAAGAATGAGACGTGGCAATTGTCAGAGGTCCAATGTTAAGAATAGAGTCAGACTTTTTTTTTTTTTAATTATGAAGAGGAATTCAGAGAAGACTAGAGTGGAGTTATGAAGATTTCTAGGAATGAAATAGCCATTTCATGTGAGACTTTTGGGCACAAAAGAAGCAGTAATCACTTGCTTCAAATTCCTGGCATAGTGCTTGAAACTCCAGTGGTTGCTGAAATGACTCTAAATACATTTGTGCCTTCGTCTTCTGTGTATTAAATGAAGTGGCCATCTAAGTGGCGTTTATTATTATAAAATAAAATATGACAAACTGAACACCGCTGAGGATGCTGAATGTCCCACAGTGTCAGATATCCAGCCAAAATGTAGGTAAATATTTAAAAAAAGTCTTTTATTAAGTTCATGTGTGTGCATGTGTACATGCCTGTCACGACATACATGTGGCAGTCAGGACAGCTTGTAGCAGCTGATTCTCTCATTACACGTCAGTCCTGGCCATCAGGTTTGTCTGCAAGTGCCTTTCCTCTCTGCGCCATCTTGTTGACTCAAGATTTGATTCATTTGATGAAAATAGATAGGCATACCCATCTCGTTAGTGAACCAATTTCTTAAATACGTGGGGAAATTAAATGAACTTTAAAAATACATTTCTTTAAAATTTATTATCAGCAAATGTTTGGATACCTGCTTTATGTTCTAATATACTTGGGGTCACATGACCGTTTCCTAGGCATAAGGGGTCAATGTTGTAGAAGTCTAGCTCTAGGGGAGGCCTCTTCTTAGCATCTTTTCCTTCTACTCAGCTGTCTGCTTTCTGTGTGCAAGAATCCACCATAGAACGAAAGGTCCTTCAGCAGACAGGTTTCACACTGTTTTCCATAAATGTGTAAACGTATTTGTTATTTAAAAAGTAAATTAAAAACTTTCATGATTTATGTAACAGTTAAGAAAAAAGGAAGAAGAGAAGAGCTCAAACCAGGAGAGGTTGAACACCACCAGAGCAGAGGTGGAGAGAAAGGCTTTGGGTCAGAGCCATAATCTTTAGTGCTTTTGGAGTTTTTCTAAGCAGGGGCACTGGACTCCAAAGAGGAGACTTCCTGAGTGTTGGTGGAATTGGCCCTGTCTGAAAGCTCAGCAGGGAGCTTAGGAGGCTCTGTCCAGTGTTTGGAGATCCCGGGCTATTTGGAAACAAGCTGTGTGTCCTCGAGGCCCTGAGCACAACTGGTACCACAGGGGGAAAGGCAAGCTTTCTGAGGGTAAGGAGACAGCGTTTTCCTGCCTTGCTTATAGCAAATGATTGCTCTACCACCGCCTCCTAAGGCTGTGGGTCTTCTTCACAAAGAGAGCAATTAGTACTTCAGTGGAAGGTTGGGGATGCAATTTAGCCCTTGTCACTCTCCTCTGGGCCAAGGTTGAAAGTCCCCACTTTGAAGTCAATGGTACTATGCTCACCCCGGGGGTGGGGAGGAATGCAGCCAGTCTTGGCTGAGGAGCTAGTCCAGGCAAAGAGCGAAAACAAACAGCTGCAAGAAGCTGCAGACCAATGAACCAGACCTCATTCAGTCCCTGGCAGGAGAATAATTCAGTTGGAAATCACCTATCACTGTTTGGTGGATTCGATCTGCACCACAACCTTGGGTACATTTCTCACGACCACAACAAACACCAGTCCCTCCAGGGGGGCTGCCATGGTGGCAGGAGCAAGGGGCAGAGCCGTTCATATCACCAGGAAGCAGTGATATGAACCTGAGTCAGGAAGGAGAGAGGCGGCTGTGCCTTCCAAGGTCCACGCCTTCGGTCAACTAGCCTCTTCATGTTTCAGTGGCCTCCAGAAATTGTGCCTCCAGGCGGGCAGGGCAGGGCACAGGTGTTTAAAACAGAAGCCTGCTGCGGGGTGATTTCAGATTCAAACCCGAGGAGCCAGGGGCACCATTAAAGAAACTCAAAAGAAAGTTAAATTCTCTAAAGAAAGTTGGGTTTACAAGTGGCGAATTATAATATAATTACAGCAAATATAATTTAGAAGCAAATACATTGTCAATTAATAAGCCTGTTCCAGCCAGGTATGATGTTCACGCCTGTCATCCCAATGGTCCAGAAGCAGGGGACATAGAAGGGTTGTGGAGGGTTTGAGACTAGCCTGGGCTACCATGTGAGACTTCGTCTGGAAAACAAAACAAACAAAAAAAAAAAAACAAAACAAAAAAAAAAGCCAAAAACAAAACCTAAACTACCTCCCCTGCAATAAAGCAAAAACCTGTTTCAAACGATCAACATGAAAAATAAAACACAGCCAGGCAGAGTGGAGCTGGCTCTGACTCTTCCGCGTTAAATTTGTTATGTTTACCCATTGAGGAGTGCAGCCTCCACCGTGGCACCCAGACGTGGATGGGGGAGGCTCAGGTGCTGGGTTGTTTTTCTGCTTCTCAGAGCAGCTTTATAAGCAGAGCTTTATATTTAGAACGGTTTTTCTTGATGAATAAGTGAAAAAAGCATATTATGTTTTTGCCGCGTAAATGTTCGTTCTGGAAAGCAGAGGGGAGTGAGAACCTCCTGGTTTCCAGGCAAACCGAAGCTCGGAGGAATTAGAGATCATTCATTGGAACAGCAGCCGTGTCTAGTCATTCACCGTTTGTCTTGGAACGTGCCATGGTTTCGTGATTTTACTACCGAAGGCTTTGGTGTTTTAACTGTCGTTCATTCAAGTGCGAAGCCGAGAAAATGCAATGATGAAGATACTTTGAACACCGTATATTATTGGTGAAGAAAAAAATGGAGTTTAAAAAAATGTATGACCATTATAGGCACTTCTGGGGATTGCATCCAGGGTTTTACATATCTCAGGCGAGCTGAGTTATAACTCAACCCCTCTTATTGTTTTTAATTTTGAAATAGTGTCTCACTAAGTATCCCAGGCTGGACTTGAACTTGTAACCCTCAAACCTCCATCCCTCTTTTGAGTAGTTGGGCAGACTTGCTTAGGTCACCAGGCCTGCTTACAGTCTATATTTGATGGATTATTGCTGAGTAAGGTTTCTTTGAGTGGAAAGTTCTAGTTGCTAGTAGAATGAAAATCATAGTGTAAAATAATTGAAAGATTTCATTGTGTCCTGTACAGATGGTTTTTTTTTTTTTTAAATGATCATGCACGAAATACATTGTTGCAAGTATGGGTGGAGGAAAGCTCACTTTTTGCTGAACAATCACAGGCTGTGGCCAGTTGGAGGCGCTCCATCTCCTAGAAGTCAGCTTACCAAAGCATAGAGCTCACTGATGGCCAAGGAGACATTCAGTTTCTGCTTCACTTAGGAAAAGTCTACAAGAAGACGATGGAGCAGAAAGGTGTGTGATTATTTGTGGCGTCTGAGTCGATGTGTGATTGACTCTGATACGGAAGACAGAACCACGCTGGCTGTGGCACGCTCACAGGAAGTAGCTTCAAGTGGGCTCAGTAGGCACCATCTATAATCTTAGACACGATGATTGTCCTGGCCCTCTGCAGTGTGAGTCATGTCTCAACTACCAGCGGAGGAGGTACCCACAATCCCAAGAGTTACAATGGCCGGTCCCACTTTCAGTAATATCTGGTTTTGCAAACATTCTTATTGATGTTGTGACCAGAGTTCTGAGTCAGAGTTCTGGGAATCTGTGGTCTTAATCATGGAGATTATTATACTCAGTGGGTGGCTTTAACCCTGACATCTTTCTCCTTGAAAACCTGTGCTTTGGTAAAAGAAGCTAAGCTCTTGCCAACAAAGAAAGAGAGGTGCCATTTCAATGAAATGTTAATGGATTTTATAAACTTCGTTCCCAATGGGTAGTGGTTGATTCTTTGAAATGTTCCTGTCGTTTAAGACATTTTAAGCTTGCTGTAAATGACTAGAAATATTTCACTCATTTTTTTTTCAAATATTAAACTACATTCCACATTAATTTTCAAAGGGTAAGAATGATTAAATGAAACACAATCTTTTTTATCTTTTTTTTTTTTTTTGCTGAACTATACATTTTTCTCTGGTCCCCTCCATTCCTCTCCCCTCCCCTTCTGCCCTCTCCCATGGATCCCATGCTCCCAGTTTACTCAGGAGATCTTGTCTTTTTCTACGTCCCATGTAGTTTAGATCCATGTATGTCTCTTTTAGGGTCCTTATTGTTGGATAGGTTCTCTGGGATTGTGAATTGTAGGCTGGTTTTCTTTGCTTTATGTCTAAAAGTCACTTATGACTGAGTACATATGGTATTTGTCTTTCTAAAAGAAAAACAAAACCAAGATTGTATCTGTGACCAGACACCTGATCTGGGTCACCACAATAGAGAAGGTGTGAGCCTTGCTCTCAGTCTTGAGACCCAAGATTCAATCTCCTGGTAACAGGGAGGCCAGCTTGCTCCAAGGAAGCCTTTGGCACTGAGGAGGACATCCTGGAGATGAGCCTCCGAGTCTTTGATGTAACCGTGCCCAGAGCAAAGGGCAGGTGCTAGACCGCTTACCAAGTCCCAGCTCCTGGCTCTGAGTTGACGTGAGCACTGGAGGACCTTCGTGCGACTCCTGCTCGCTATTCCCAGAGCGGCCCGTGTAGCCCAGTGAAGAAAACGGAATTGGGGCCAAGGTTGATGTTAGGGCCGGTGTTGTAGTCTGCAGATCCGCGCTCTGGGTGCTTTCCGAGCTCTCAGAGTCGTAATCTGAATTGCGTACTTGCCAGCTGGCTACATCCCCTAGCGGCCCTCTGAAGTCACTGTCGCTAAGGCCAAAAGGAAACCCAGGGAAAGCCTGCAGAATTTTTCTTTCCTTGCTGGGATAACAGGCAGGTCAGAGGGGATCCTCAGGGCCTTGCTGTGATTAATGTTCTCCATGAAGACTTGAAAACATGAATTCACAGAGGCACCGTTCCTACACATTATGGGATTTAATTTACCCGTTGGGTGGTAGAGGAGGCAGGTTCGTCATAGAGGGTGATTTTGGGTTATTGTACACTTCACCTGATGGCGACTCAAATTTGAACCGGAAAGGAGTGGCGTGCGTATGGGGAAAATAATAAATGTTCCATGTCAAAGCCTGATGTCCTGAAAAATATTGTTTCTCTGTGCCAGAGCCATTTGTGTTATGAGGCATGGCCCGTTGTACTCAGCATGTTTGTCCGTGTGTTAGATGAATCCCCTGGTTTCCCTCACTGTCTGCTCTGCAGTGTTCTGATCTTACTGACACCCCACCCCATCCCACCCCACCCCACAATGTTCAGCCCATCAGCCATCTTGGTAGTGCTGGCAGCTGGTGAACAGAAAACAAGAATATGCTCTACGACACACTCATATGCTCTACGACACACTCAGTTCAGGGATGGAGGCAGACTCCACCCTCAATGCCACGTCATACATTAGTGGCCAGACAGCACAAGGGAGAAGCACAACCTGTATGCTTCCCCATGTATGCGCAGGTGGTCATGCGTGTTTGGTTGTGTGCATGTGTATGCATGTACACGTGCAGGCCAGAGCACAGCCTTAGGGAGCGTTCGTCAAGAATGCCATCTGCCATTTTCAAATTTTGTAGCACTAATAATAAAAACCCAGAGAGCGAAATTGGGGTTCAACCCCAAAACCAGAAAAGTAAGGCAGCCAAGCCACTAGAGAAGTCTTACCTCTACCAAGGCTGGGTGACCATAGGCTAAGCCGACTAAGCCTCTCTCTCCACCTGTTTTATATTCCTTCTAGTGCTGGGATTAAAGGCGTGACTCCCTGGAACTGGGATTAAAGGTGTGAGCCACCAGCTCCCGGAACTATTTCTGAATTGATTTTGTGTAGCCTGGGGTGGCCTTGAACTCAGAGATTCACCTGGCTCTGTCTCCCAAATCGTGGGATTAAAGTTGTGTGTCACCACTGCCTGACTTCTGGTCTTCAGGCAAGATTTATTTATCAAAATACAAATAATATACCTCTACAAAATTTAACTTCTTTTTCACAACTTCATATTTGAGCAGTTCATCCACATCACCCTGCTCCCTAACTCCTCCCATGTCCCCCTCCCTCCCAGATTCACAATCTCTTCAAACATGCATATATCTGAGCCCATTTAGTGTTCCTCACTCAGACGTGTGTCTAGGGATAAACCCTTGGGATTGAAGAACCTATGCACGAACCCACCCTGGAGGAAACTGATTCTTCCTCTCTTAGAAGCCATTGCCCATTCTTCTAGGAGAGGGACAGAATTTCCTCCGTCCATGTTGGTACATCAACTGGTATGGTTCAACCTTGTTTTTGAAACAGAATCTCCCACTGGTTTGATGCTTGCCCATTAGGTAGGCTAGGCGTGTTTGTTTCTGTGTGTGTTTGTGTTTCATATGTGCACGTGTGTGCCTGTGTATGCATGTCTTGTTTTTGTATTTGTATATGTGCATTTGCATGTTTGCATATATTTGTTTTTGTGTGTGGATGTTTGTCCACACATACGTGTGTGTATTCATGTACATGTGTGTGTGCACGTGTGAAGGATTTCTGCTAGAAAATGGAACGTCCCAAATGATATCTGCATATATATTTGTGTGTCTGTGTTTATGTGTGCTGGGCTTCTTTCGGAAAAACGTCACATTCCAGTGATCTTTCCCAGGGCAGCCTAGCAAGGTGATTCTTGGAAATCTAAACTTTCTCACTTCTGCTCCCTGAGCTCAGCCGGCACCTCTTCACCTGCTTGCTCCACAGCCTGGCTGTTCGTGAGAGCAAGGACGCTAACTGTGGACAGATCAGCTGGAGCCTAAAACCCCGTCACCTTAAGGCAGTTCTATCGGCCTCTTGGGCTTTTGGCTCTGCAACCCCAGGCCTCCCTCTTCCCAGGAACCTGAAGCTTGCTAAAATGTTCTTCCTGTATGAGGCCCATGTGGCTGGGGAGAGCCACTCCACCCCACCTGGGAAGGTGTGCTCACCTTCATATTGTTAGGACAGGCTTCGGTTTCTGCTGACAGCTGGGTGAATGCCGGCTTGGACTTTTCCTTCCCCCGAGGAGATCCATCGAGAGCAATCAGCTGCTTCTGTTCCTCCTCTGCCTGGACCTGGTTTTCCAGATGATTCTGATGTAAAAGCTGGTCAGGAAAAGCTCTATAGGTTGGGTAAAGGAATGGCTTAGCAACAGGAAAAATTTGCTAAGATGATGACTCTTAGCAGCAGCTACGGGCTCCTTCTAAAATGACTACAGCCCAGCCAGGATTCTCCCCCTTCTTGCTTCCTCTTCCCTTGAGTGGGACGGTGTAAGCTGGAGCTGGGGCTGCGGCTGCGCCGGTGTCTCCAATACAAATTAGCAGGGCTCGGCGAGTCTGGAATCACACAGGTGGGTTTAGACTCTGTTCTGTGCCGTAACCTTCAGTCCTATAGGACCATGTCTTTTCATCTTCAAAGGGAAGTGAATGCCGATTGAGAAGGATGGGGATGAAGGTGTCTGGAATAGCCTCACGAGCCAGTGGAGTTGGGAGGCAGCTTCACCTCTGAGAAACCAGCACAGTGATCTCTTGCTGGGGCTAGTTTTGGAAGTTTCTCTTTCTCCTTGCACGAAAGGCCGTGGAGCCTAGGGCACGAGTGCCCACCCGAACATTTTTGGTCTCTAGGATTCTCTGCACTGATGTCTGGGGTTGAAATTCTCAGGTGTTGGACTAGCACAGATGCGTCTCATCCTTACCTGATACCCAGGAGGGACTGGCTGATAGTGACTCGCTTCATTTTAATTGGCTCCATCCTTTGAACAGAGGGAAATAAAACTGGCATTAACTCTTCAGCTTCCACTACTGCAGTTGCGCTGTTCCAGGGACACAAGGGGCTCCATGTCATAGGGAGGGCAGGCAGGAACCGAGGGGTTACCTGCTAGAACCATTACCGGAGAGCCCAGGTTCAGGCAGCCTGCCGCCGTCGCTCACCCGAGGGCTGGCGGACAGTTTTCTGTCTAGCCTTTCCTGTCTCAGGCTGGCCCCTGTCCATGATCGGGTTTGGCAGTCAGGTTTCTAGCTTTTGCTGAACGTATCTATTTTGATATGTAGAAAATCGCCCGACCTTTAGTGTGTGGTCAGAGCCAGGCAGAGCGCTGGGCTGTCGATGTACAGGGCGGGTAGCACATGTGAAATCAGTCACTGTGACCTCGTCTTCTCCTGTAACCAAAGCTGAAGCGTCTGCTGTGTAAAGGCACAGGCTCACCACAACTGTTTCTGGGCTTTTAGGACAGAAGACTCAATAACGGACGAAGAGAAGAGGAGGTATGTGTGCCGTCGCAGCCCGTGTCACGTGAGTGGTTTTGGCCGTAGGCATGGATGTAACCACTCTAGCATAGGACGATGACACATTCCGTCAGGCGGCACTCTAGCAGGGACGCGGGACCTGAAACGGCGGAGGCCCCGACCCAGCAGCTCTGCCCTGCGAGTGTGGCTCTGCCATCTGTTCTGCCCCCGACCAACTCCCCCTCCTCACCTCTGTGCTTCCTCAGGTCCCCTCTGCTCTGCGTTCCCGGGCGTCCTGCCTCATGCTGTCCATGTCTTTTCCTGTAAGGAAGTGATTTTTGAATATACACGTTGCCTAGTGCCACAGGGATCTCTGAGTTTTCCCTAAGCAGTGGTCACATATCGCTCAACTCTATGTCACTATGTGTACTTAGATCACTTCTTTTCTTTCTCATTACAAGCAAAGAAGTTAAAATTTTTTGCTTATTCAACGGAGCTATTTTTCCAAAGCTTCCTTTTAACATAGAAAAACGCGAATCTTTGAAAAGTCATGAGTTATCTTCACAATCATTTAATCATTTGGAGTGGTTCATCCTTTATTTTTTTGATGGTTCTCTCCCTCTAGCGCCCTTAAATTGATCTAATTTCTTTTCTTAAAGAAACTATGGCGGAGTGTACGTTGGTCTGCCTTCTGAAGCTGCCAGTATGGTGTCTAGTCAAGCAAAGACAGTACGGAAAAGTAAGCAAGGGTTGTGTGGGGCTTATTTCCTTAAAAAGGTATGTGTGCCTGTGTGAGCACGCATGTATGGGTGTGTGTATATATATACACGTATGGGTGTGTCTATGTATATATATATATGTATGTGTGTGTGCATGCGCACATTATGGTTGTGTGTAGATATGTATGGGTGTGTCTGTGTATATATGTGTGTGTGTACGTGTATGTATGGGTGTGTATATATATGTATATGTTTGTGTCCATCTGTCTGTGTATATGTGTGTGTGATATTGTTTGTAGCTTTTTGGGAAACTATAATGTATTTTTAAAAAGCTCTAAACACTAACTTATTTTCTCTCGAAGATTAGAGGAAGATAACATGATATCTGGACAGTCAAGAGGTACTGTGTCTTTTCCTGAATCGTCTTGTGTGCTTAGCCTCGTTAATGAAGGGACTGCTTGTAGTGTCTCTGTGCGTCTAAGAGATCTTGCGTGCCAGTCCATTTTCTCCTGAACTGCCATGGTTTCACTTCGGTCTTTCCCAACTCCAGTGTCATTTGTTCACTAAGCGTGAACTGCATGCCTGGCCAAGACATCAGGGCTCACCAAAACTCAGGAGGGCTTAGAACTTGAATGACAGCTGGACGGTCTCGGTCAGAGACTCTGGCTAGGACTCAGGGATCGGTATACACAGCGTGTAGCAGTAGAGTTCAAGAGGAGATGCGTCCACCACTGGTTCAGATGGGTGCTCGTCCTGGCTGACACAGGAGCAGGTATGTGGGGAGGGAGAATTTCTATTCTCTTGGTCCCACGGCCTGGGCTGTGTTTGGCTCTCCATTCTGTGCCGTTTCTTACCAAATGCACTCAGCCTCTTTTGCAGCCCCCACTCAGGAGTGCTGTTTCCCTAGAGAGTCCGTTTTCTGTTGGAAGTCAGACTCTTTCCCCACTGGCTGAACAGGTTACTTTTCTTTTGTGACCTCCATCTCATAATCTATAGACTGGATCTTTTGCTTAGACATAAAGGTTGTTGTGAGGATTAAATGAAATAAACGGTATCTTTTGCTTTCCTCATTGCTCCCTTCTTTCTCTTCTTCTCCCTCTCTGTCTTCCCCAGTTTGCTCACTGGGGAGTGAGATTTGATAGCTGGTTGCCTCTGTTGAGGGTCAAAGGTTACCGCAGTGACGGTCAAGCAGTTACTGCTGACCGCCCACAGGTATCTGGCCAAAATACTCGCTCACTGCTCATGGATCCCAGTGTGTTCTTGGACCTGCTTCATCTCCAAGTAGTCAGTTTGATCCCGTTTCCTTTTTGCCTCGCCTTTGAATTACCTGAAAGGTTTTCTCAACTGAAGGTCTTGGCTGTCGTGTGTCCATCGTTCCGTTTGTCTGCGACACACCTACATCTGTGACTGGCAGGCTAGGCGTTGGGCAGAATCCTGATGGGAGGACTGTTCCCAGGGGGCATTCGATACAAAGGACGAGCTACAGGTTTTGGCCAACATCACCGTCTTTCTGACTGGAATTCACCCCGTGAGCTCATTTGGCTATTTTGGGGGGCAAATTTTGGCATGCTGATCTGATACGGTTAGGTAGTTTCTTATGCCCCGGACTCTAGAGTGGAAACCACGGACACACAGCTGTGGCTCTTTGAGAGGCATCTTCTACCCAGGAAGGAAGTGGTGGCCTAGGCCTGCTCTCAACTGAGCCAGCCAAAAGGAGCTCATGTGATGGCTCTCAGATGCCAGTGTGGACCAGCTCCGTCAGTGTCCCTGGGGGAGCCCCACAAGCTGTGAATGGTTGGACCCTCTTTGCAGGGTAATGCCGGGACGGGATCGTGTATGACTGACTGACAATCTATATTATGAGTGTGGTGCCGATATGCACTCAGCCTGTTTTGGTTATTGTTATTCTGTATTTCAATTCTTAATTGTATTTTTATAAGTTTCTCAGCATCCAATTTTATCTCTTTATATAAAGATTATCAACATTCAGAACTATACTGCCCAATAATAAATCTTAAGTAGCTATTGATTGGCTGTTGAAAATGTGCTCTACTTAAAGGCAAATTCAGTAAATAATTTTCAGGCTTAAGACATGTGCTTTTTGGAGGCTGGAGAGACGGCTCAGTGGTTAAGAGCACTGCCTGTTCTTCCAAAGGTCCTGAGTTCAATTCCCAGCAACCGCATGGTGGTACACAACCGTCTGTAATGGGGTCTGGTGCCCTCTTCTGGCCTGCAGGCATACATGCAGATAGAATACTGAGAATACTGTATACATAATAAATAAATAAATCTTTAAAAAAAGACATGTGCGTTTATCTAAGTTGTGATTTTTGAGTTTGCTAATTCTTTTTCCCACCTTTCCTTTTTTCCTTCTACAGCCCGCACATGAATTTGGAAGGAATTAGGCTCCGGGGACATTGTATCTTCAAACAAATCCTGCAAGATTGTCCCCTGCTGTGCCACCTCTCCCAGATCCTTAGTGTGTAGTGAAAGCCTTGGGTACACACTGTGCGTTGTGGCCGCAGAAGGAAACTGGTAGACTTGGTGCTCACTGGGGGAACTCTGCGTCACCACCAGTGAGGGAGCCCTAAGGCTGTCGCCACCCAGCCTGGGCCACCATTCCACCCAGTTCACAGAAGTCCTGTCTTTTCACTGATACTCTTTTGATAGTTTTTATATAACGCAATCCTTACTGTATTTATAACCTGGTATTAGAGTATAAAGGAATTACCTGAAGTAATCTACCGTCTCTTGTCCTTTGACGTTTCTCCTTCGTCATTTTTTTCAGCTGTGAAGTTGGTAATAGAGTCTCACAACTCTCCCTTTCTCACTAGTCGGTTTAAAACCTTCATTTAAATGTAAGCGAATTCCCTCTGTTGAGGACAATGCAAGTATTTGAAAATGAACCAGTTAAATGTGCATGCTCCCCACACAGGTGTGGATTAAAGTCCCGTTTTCTTTAGTCAGAGGCTCACATGGCTCCAGAAGTCCTGCAGCTGCCCCGTTGCCCGTTCTCCCCTTGTATAATTAGAGCATCTCATCGTGTTTATTCCGTACTGTCGCTCAGAACTACGGTTGATGTTTAGTGGGATATCCGGGAAGTTCCGAATTTGCTAACAACGTGCACACCTACTTATGACTGCGGTGTAAGGAACCGGGTTCACCAGCGTATTTCAACCATTAAATATTTTTACCCCTCTTCACCTGGCTTTCTTAATTATTTTCAAGAAACGACTTTCAAAGAAGCTACATGTGGTATTATCATATGTAAACACCATATATCAGTATGTACAAATAACACTGGTTAAATAGATTACTATGAGAAGTGGGGGTTTTCCCTAAGAAAGGCTCTGTTTCTATATTTGGTTGATAATAACTGTGGAGCCATCAAATTCAGAACACAAAAAGTAAGAGTTACTAAGAACTTACGAGGCCTATATTCCTCTCGATGTCCATAAGCTCAACATGGCGCTCAGGGGGACGTCGATATTTATATAAGTAATAATAATAACCCCCAGGAGCCTGAGGCACGAGAGTCAGGGGTTCAAGGCCAGCTGGCTCCACAGTGAGTTTGAGACCAGAATGGACTACATGAGACCCTGTCTCAAAAAATATTTCAGTTAAAAAACACCAACTACATTGACTTTGGAAAACCTAATTTACAAATCTCTTTAGATAGATAGGAGAATGTAAGGATGGACTGGGGATACAATTCATTTCTCACCGAACATCATCTGTTTCTTGTGCCTCTTCTGTTGTTGTTCCAACCCCAGATTACACCATGTTCCAATTAAATTGGTCGCTCTTATCTCTTCTTCCTGGTAACAGACATTTTTCTCAGCTTTTCCTTGTTTTTGTTTTTGTGACCGCAAACCTTTTGAAATCTACTGTCTGGAAATTTTGGAATATGCCGTTAATAGGAACCCTCCTGCGCTTTTATATTGGACTGGGATCATAGATCCTGAGGGAGACCCTCACTGAGATGGAATGACCCCTCATCAAATCACATCCCGAGGTCTCAGGATCCCAACTTATTACCAGTGAAACTGACCCTGATTGGTTGGATGAGGGTCTCAGCTCTCTCCACCAGAGTTTCCGAGTTTCCCTTCCCCAAAACCTCGAAGCCAGCGGTTCTCCACCTTCCTGACGCTGCGACCCTTAACACAATTCCTCATGTTGTGGTGACCCCACCAACCATAAAATTATTTTCGCCGCTACTTCACAACTGTGATTTTGTTACTGTTATGAATCATAACGTAAGTATCTGTTTTCTGATGGTCTTAGGTGACCCCTGAGAAAGGGTCGTTTGACCTCCAAAGGGTCGTGACCCACAGGTTGAGGACCGCAGCTCTAAGTGACTTATGAGTCCAGACCATATTCAAGATAGGACTTAAGGTCCACCCCCTGGAGGAACTTGGGGTCGTTGACTAAAGCTTGATGGCATTTGGCGATGTTCTCGTTCTCACCAGAGTTCCAGTTATCTTCTAGGTATCGGGGGAGAGCTTGTCCAGTGTGTGTACCAAGCCAGTCGCTAGTCCGCTTCCCGTTCTGCAGCTCATCGGCAAAGAATCTCTAATCCCACGGAACGGCTCACACGCTGGGCCACTGAGAACACAGCCGGTCAGGCACGGTCAGGCTAGTGTAGACTCACCTGACAGTCCTTCCCCTGATGACCCCAGCCACGCTCTGCCCTGCCTCGTGTAGGAAAGGGGAACTTTGGGGCAACGGATTCCTGTACTTTGTGCAAACAGACGAGTTCCCCTAGACGTATACATTTTGATGGATCGTGTAGTGTGCACCCTATGGCTCTGGATAGAGAAAAACTCTGCTATAGGGAAAAAAGCAGCCTGGTAACTGGGAATTTTGTGACGCTGGACTGCAGGGGTTCTGCTTCTTCTTAAAGTTTCCACAGCTAATATGAATGTGATCTTTGGATCTTGTCTCCTCAGGGTCCTGGGGATTAAACTCAGGATCTTATGTGTGCTAGGCAGGTAGACTGAGCTATACCCAAGACCCATCATTGGGGCCTATAGCATAATTGCTGGGGTTCCAATCCCCATTTTCTCCCCATTCGTTCAGTAGGTACTGCTAGGAACTTTCTAAAGTATGTATTATCATATCAATAAGAATATGTGGGTATTTATCTTGTTCAGGTTACAATCTAATATTGTCTTGCTTTCTTGGTTTTGTCTAGCTTTGACCATTAGGAGCTTTTTCAGGTTCCATTCTGACATTCTCTATACAAGCCCCGCCCCCTAGGTAGACTCTCAAGGTGAGCAATGCCACATGATGAAAATGTCGTTCAGAAGTTAAAGCTCCAACAAATTCCATTACAAATGAACAGTCTCTTCCATATTATGACAAGTCCTAACATTTTCCTTCCACGGGGATGAGCTAAACTTAGAGCCTCCTAAATCTTACACATTCCTAACACAGCCACCCACCTCCTGCGTCTTAAGGCGAATGATTAAACGTCTTTACCGAGCACAGTAAGAATCTGAAAGACAGAGGAGGGTAAAGGATGAATGGGATTCAAAAAGGAGAGGGACAGAAGCCTGTCTGTGCCGCTTAGTTTAGATGAACTAGACACAAACCAGGCTCGCTTGGGAAGAGGGAACCCTGATTGAGGAATGGCTTCTATCAGATTGGCCTGCGGGTATGTTTATGGGCATTTTCTTTATTAATGGTTGGCATAGGCAGGCCTAGCCCTCTCTGGGCAGAGCCATCCCTGGGCAGGAGGTCCTGAGTTATATAAGAAAGCAGGCTAGCAAGGCACAGAATGAGAGCCAGAAAGCATCGTTTCTGCACGGTCTCCGCATCAGCTTCCCTAGACAGTGCACATCACTTGGAAGTTTAAGATGAAGTAATCCTTTCCTCTCCAACTCACTTTTATCCGTATTTTATCACAGCCAGAGAGAGGTAAAGCCAGAGAGAAATCTAAGAGCTTACACCTTTTCAAACATTATGGTTTTTGCAAGATTATTATTGGTTAAAAAATACAGTGGAGATGTGTGTTCGAGCATTTCTGATTAGAAGGCTGTCTGAGGGAAAGGGTTCCTTAAGCCTTCGGAGTGAGGAGACGCACATTGTCACTCGGTTGCAAAGACGGCTAAGCCCTTCTGATTTCCTACAGAGGTGGCGCTCCTCAAGAGGGAGTGATGGAGGAGGGTGTGTTCTCTGGCAGTACATGACTGCCTTTCCAGCTCTGGTCAACTCATACACTGCGGTCTTAGAGCCTGTAAGCTGTGGGAGGGGAAGTGGAGGCGGAGGAGGGGAAAATACCCCAGCAGGTGTCAAAGCATCGACAAGCCATGGTCGCCATTTGGGCCTGTAGAACCGGAGGAATGGAAGAGAAAACCTAAGAGATTGTGTGTATACTGCTGTGGGAGAGTGCGCTTGTATATTGTAAAGACTTGTCACTCATATTGATTTAATAAAATGTTGGTCAGTAGCCAGGCAGGAAGTATAGGCAAGGCAACCAGACAAGGGGAATTCTGTGAAGAGGAAAGGCAGAGAAGCAGTCACCAGCCAGATGCAGAGGAAGCAGGATGAGAATGCCTCACTGAGAAAAGGTACCAAGCCACGTGACTAAACATAGCTAAGATTTATGGGTGAATTTAAGTTGTAAGAGCTAGTTAATAATAAGCCTGAGCTAAGAGGCCAAACAGTTTGTAATTAATATAAGTAAGCCTCTGTGTGTTTGCTTGGGACTGAACAGCTGCAGGACCAGGCAAGACAAAAACTTCTGTTTACAGTATATGGTTTATGCAGGAAAAGTTTCAATTTTTAAATTAAAGTTATTTGTGTGTGTGTGTGTGTGTGTGTGTGTGTAGTGCAGGTGCCTACAGAGGCCAGAAGACAGTATCAAATCCTCTGAAACTGGATGTACCCGTGGTTGCGAGCTACCCAACATGGATGCTGGGAACCAAATGTGGGCCCTTTGGAAGAGAAGCAAATACCTTTGACTGCTGAGCCATGTCTTTGCCCTCTGGTTTTTATTTTTAATTAGCAGGAAACAGGGTTAAGAAATCTCAGGTTTCCCCTGATACCATAGGGATAGATTTGAACGAATTTGAAAATAACATAAATTATGAAAACCATAAAGCTAAGGGAAACACTAGTAAATAGTTACCTGACCTGAGACTGGGAAACAGCTTTATGTGAAAGAAGCGTGAAGCCCAATCCACAAGGTAAAACATTGCTAGGCTTGATTATATGAAAAATGAAAACGTATGTTTGAAACCTGAGAACATTTGAAAAGCAAATGGCTGGGGGAAAAGGCAACATTTGTGGTAACCATGGGTCTACCCTGCTCTACATCTGAGATCTCCCGATGTTTGCAATAACCACGTGTTCACCCAACTCTATATCTGAGGACTCTTGGCAACATTTGTGGTAAACACAGAGGCTAGCCTGCTCTACAAAGAACTCTCAGATAAAGGGTATGATCAGAGATTCTAAAAAGACAGTTCATGAAAGGACTGTAAATGGCCGTGGAACCTTCCGGGAGGGCTTATTCACATTAAAATACAATGGCTGGAAGTCGCAATGATGATGTAACTCCCCCAGTCAACAGCATGTCCCTCCTCCGTCCTGTGGCTGCCAGTGTGATGGCATGGTCACTGTTGTGTCTTGAGGATGTCTGCTCCCAATGACTGTGCCTCACCCGTCACTCTGATGAGCTGGGGGGTCCACAGGCAAGAAGAGCCTCCCTTCCTCATCTTTCGGTCACTTTGGGGT